TGGATGGCAAACTGATGCAATATTTACCAAGGTAAATAATCTTGATATATTTACCAAGGAAAAATAATCTTGATATATTTACCAAGGAAAAATAATCCTGATATATTTACCAAGGAAAAATAATCTTGATATATTTACCAAGAAAAAATAATCTTGATATATTTATCAAGGAAAAATAATCTTGATATATTTACCAAGAAAAAATAATCCTGATATTTTTCTTGAGTGTAACTAAGATTTTTTTTTTTTTCAAAGTAAGTATCGATACATGTAAAATTTACCAACACAATTGCAATAAAGTTAAATTTTCAAGCAGCAGGTGCTCTGGACAGTCCATTATTGCATTAATTGACATATAGGTGTATAATATATAAAATCACAACCTTAAATTAGAAAAAAAGGGTGTTGCCCTAATTTCATAACAATTAATAAATGTTTAAAAGTCAAAATGGTATAGGTACTCGTAAATGTGTGTTGTTTTCTTTTTAAAAACCGTATAAAAATTGGAACTTTCTATAGAGCAGGTGTACATTCAGGTTTTGCTCATTGTATAGCTATATACAAGCATAAGATAGGCCAGCTTATCTCATACTTTGTCAAAATGGACAAGAATTGTTTCTAAGTACAAATGTAATGGAAAAGAATACATAGGTATGACTATAAAGTCCTGCCATGGAAATCCAAAACTAATCACCATTTTCCCTTTAAAACTGCTGGCTAAAATTTACTGTAAACTTCCTGTGATCTGGTTTTACATACATTGAACACCCAATCTAAATAAACTCAATCACCCCTGAAATTTCATAATGAACTATTCCAGCCTATAAATTGGAAGAGTTCAAATGTGTCTTCAGGGGTGAATGAGTTAAACTTACCCCCCTCGATCACCCCTTTGAAAAAAGGTTTTGTTATTGTGGGAGAAACTGGAACTTGCCCAGTTATGGAGTTGCTACCTGGTATTCTACCTGGTATTTTTTTTTTATTTGCATGGATATCATTAAATAAATGGAAACTCGAAAGAAGAGATGACTATAGAAAACCTCAAATCTAATCCAATTTGACATTGATCTCATTTTCCCTTGTATAAAATAAAATGGGTTCATGCGAGTATCGTTACCCAATAAATGATGCATATTGCCAGAATTAAGGAATTAATTGGTGCTCGAAGTCAGAAAATTCTGTATACATGTAGTTTAAGTGTTCATATGCTGCATGTTTTTTCACAGAGGTGTACAGAAATGTTTTTCAAATGCATTGGAACATGTTTCATACAACAACATTTACATTACTATATATATCTACTTACACTAACTTCCTAATCAATATACTCGTGAATATCTACATTTGTACTATAGCAAATATATATATATATAACAGTACTAGTGTAGACTTACTGAAACAGGTTACTTTCTAACTACTGTATTTGACCCAATAATCGCCCTGGGCACAAATAGAAATTTTAAAAACATTAAAACTAATGTAGAACCTTCTGTATTCTCAAAAATTAGCCTGGAGATTTTTATTTTTTTCAAGTAAGTCAGTGAATTTAAATAGAAAAAAAGTATTATTGGGCACCTATAAGGGACGGGCCTTTTATTTGGTCAAATATATAGTACACAGCACATGAATTAACTATCAATCGATGATGTGATAAAAACAATTTTAAATCATTATAAATTTTATCGTTATTTTGTTACTGCAATGCAGCACAAAATTATATAATGGGAACTACTATATAAATTGCAAAAAAATCTTAATTATGTAAATTTAAATCGAGATATGTTAACAAATAAACATGCAATAATGCTAAAGACTTTGATATAGATATATATAAACAGTGAATACAGTCCATGTATTGTTTCTTTCTGCCCTTTTTATATCCCATCCACCCCCCACCCTCCAAATAAGAGATGATCAGTTTATACCATAGACTTGCTCAAGTCTAAAACAGGAACAGATGATAAAACGATCAATCCAAACCAAGAAGACTGTTTGCGAAAAGAATGAAAAAAAAGACATGATAGTGAAAAATACCACTAGGAATGTATAGAACGGAATACAATAACAGTCTACCATCAAAATAAGCTAAAAACATTTTCGTAAGTCTTTATCATGATTACATAGTCTTGTAGAGCGTGAATAATAGATGTATGATATAAAGTGAGCGATCGGTGCATCACATGAATGATTTGTCACAGTGATCAGAGGACAGTGAGTCAGTAACCTTTACCTGATGATTGCATTCATTAACCCTTTCATCCCTTCGTCACTTTGGTAGACTCTGCCATGCATTGATCTGGATGAGTCCATAAGTGCGGAACGGGTTAAGAGAAAATTCAAGGGGAATAACTCTAGATGAGGCCAATGAATCTTAATTGCATTCATTCACATTTTTGCTTATGTTATAACGTGTATCAGATGACTTTGTTCTCATCCTATTAATATGTACAGCATAGTTGTAACTTGTAGCGAAATATTATATACAGAATAGCTGTGGGTACTAATTTATTAGTGTCGCTTCCTAAGTACCTTTCCAACACACAGTGTTTTATCAACTTCAGTGAAAATTCGAAAGCTGAACAGTGTTGCTGCCATACCTATAAGCTTCAGATTCTCTGGCTGTTTGAAAAGGATTGCAGAACACAGCAAACCAAGTGGATGTATTGGTTTAAAATATAATTGTCCTGGGCCCGTATTCAATGAAACCTTTCTTATGCTCAAGTATGGATTCTGTGCTCAAACCCAATTTGTGTTATACATCCTATTAACAGCTATGGTCATTTAAGGACGTGCAGCGTTTTGGTTGTGGAAGGAAGCCGGAGTTCCCGGAGAAAAACCACCGAACAGCCAGTACCTGGCGACTGCCCCACCTAGGTCTCGAGCCATGACAGCGACCCAGTGGTGGAGGGCTAGGGCTAGTGGTAGCAGAATGTCAGACGCCTCAATCACTTTGCCACCGAAGCCCCATTGTGTAACAGCAGGCATACATTCAAAAGTTTGCTATATATGTGCTAGTGCGTGGCTACAACAGATGTGTTGCGATCCACAGGTAATTATATATCGCAATCCTTTGCCGTTTTCAGCTGACTTTATACAGTGTTTATTGGACGGTACGTACATATTTCTCCAATAGATGCCTCCATTTAGATAATGCATCACCACAGGACGAATGTATAATTACGAAAATAGCTGTGAAAACGATTACAAATCTATTTAATTAATATATACCACCTAAAACATTCAATTTGTAAAAAAAAATATAATCACCACAAAAAAAACAAAATTGTAAAAATTGATAAAAACATTTGCTGCATCCAAATTAGCAAAATAGATATTCCACTGATCCATTCTAACTCTGTACATCTTAAGGCTTCAGCAGCTGGTGGTCATTGCATAGAAAGTATCACACACAACCAAGAGTTGAAATTATACCCTAGATTTGTCATCACCAGATTTTCACAACACGAGTAAAAGCCCACCTGTTTCCACTACAAGCTTATAAGTCTATGACATCTTATCAGGGTTTTATGTAAGGAGTTTGTATCATAAAGACACTGCCATGCTTCCAAAAATTGCTATTACTACCGATTCTAGATGTCGAAAAAAAGTATTGGATCACAAAGGATGAGGCTAGTAGATTGCAGTTTCCAATTCTACTACTCCATACATGTGCAAATTCCACTAACCAAATATTATTCTTGATGGTCAGTAATTTCAAATTTTGACTAGTCAATTGGGCTATACATAATGTATCTAGCTATCAGTTTTTGAAACAACTATTCTAGCTGGCGGCTAAACTAGTTTCAGCCTAGAGGGCTACACTTATTAGCCTTGTAGATTTACTTGTTTTGAAAATTTTGGAAAAATAACGGTTATAACAAAACTGCAATAGTCTTAGACTAAGGCTGCCAAAGTGTATATTCTGTTGTTTATAGATCAAATTGTGACCAGGCTGTTGCCAAAAATATAAATATTTTTAAATTTAGTCACTGTAGGTGCTTAACCCTTTCACCACTGTAGACCATAATGGACTCATCCTGGACTCATCCATATATCAATGCATGGCAGAGTCTACTAAAATTACATAGGGATGAAAGGGTTAACCAAATTCTCCAATTATGATATGACTGATTAATATATATTATTCAAATTTGTATATATATTTACAAATGGCCTGCCATACGCAATGCATAATTCATCATGATTTACAAAATTCGTCACAAAGGGATAATCAAAAATTCATTTTAACATATTCACTGAATTATGGTTATCTGAAATGTTTTTAGTGCAAACTGGTACTACGTACAATATGCAAGATTTCAAGGAGCTTAATTACTTGATCAACTTTAATAAGTATTTACATGATTAATAGTTATATACAAATATATATATAAAGATATGATAAAAATATAACTGTGAACTGTCCCCGTTTACGAAAAATGGAGAAAAATTGCAGAAAGACTCATGATTAAGGCAGAAAATTTGACTGATTCTTCACATGAATTAGCATTCATGTAAATATTTTGCACAATGTAAATGCTTTACTAAAGATATTGTGATCTACCAGGCATCTAAAGATAGTGCAGAGGCATTAACACAGGAACACAATATGACATCTTGTATGTTGTGTACAAAACGCCCGACAAGCACGAAGTTTCCAGAAAAAATATTACGTAGTTTTAGATTATGCAAGATATTCTGCCACATCTGAGGACCTTAACCCATGCACCCCCTAAAGTCACATTTTAATCTTACTGAATCAAAGAATAGGGCTACATTCGCGTTTACCGGTTGAAACGGTGCGCGTGGTGCAGAAATTTCCCACGATAAACGAACGCACTTGGACCGTTCTATAAGCAGAGCTAAAAATGCAAAGTTTCGGAGAATAAAAAAACAATGTATCAAGAATATTATGACCTTCTCTCATGCGTCCACTGAATTACACAAAGAATCTTAAAAACTACATGTGGCTTGACCTTGTTTTAGAAAGAAATAACACAAACTGGCAAAAGTCAGCATTTTAGTTTCTGTCAGGTACGTCTGGACCCCTCAATCTACACGTACCAAATGTTCCCGAGTTCAGCCTGGGTTCAGATCTGTACCTGTCGTTTTCTTTACAGGTTCAATTGTTTCAACCGGATACGCGAATGTACCCTAGAAAAGACCAGTTTAAAATTGTAGGGGTCAATGAGTCATCTTTTGTGCAGAATCCCCCCCCCCCAGTATAACTAATCAATGTAAGTTACCTAATCAAATGGGAAAGGGAATGATGTGATATCAGTTCTTCAAAAAAACGTGTCAAATTCAAACTAGTCAACGACAGTCTAAACACATCCATTACATTTTTGGTTAAAACTCATCATCATTTTTAAAATGATTCCACAAAGAATTCCTTTCACTGAAGTTGGGACTAAAAATTGGTCTGATACACACAAGCAACTTAAAAAAAATAGCCTACGAGGGCAATAAAACCTAGTTAAACCACGATTTAGCCCTGACACCACATCTCGAAATGTTACATTGCTGAATACACTTAAAACATTTGTACGCTTATATATGACATGCATTAATATTGATACACATGACGCCCTATAAGGTGACAACGGCACTGTCCTTGCTTTCCGTGTCGAGACTGGCGTCGCTGTGATGACTGAGGTTGTGTTCACTGCCTCGTTCAAAATGGTCGCCGTGGCGCGTCAGGTGATCCTCAACCTCGTCATCTTCATCCTCCTGTTCATGGATCAGAGGAATGTCACTGTCAAACGACTTGGAGGAATGATATGAGCCCTGGGACTTTTGTGAACCAGTCGACATTTGTGAGGTGCGGGCCGATGACCCCCGCATTGGTGCGAGGGTCATACGCTGGTTGACTGGCTTCACTGTGATTATGAGGTTGGCGCTGTTGGCCACCATCATGTCTGTAACTTGGTCCAGGGTTTTGCCTGCGACCTCGATACCATTCACTTCCAACACCTCATCATTCACAGCCAACAGCCCAGTACTCTCTGCCAGGCCACCAGGCACAAGTCTTGAAATGAAAATGCCAGGCACTTTCTCTAGTCCATGGGGTGTCACACGCACACTTGTGCCATCACGGATGTAAAATCCCAGAGGCTTGTCTGAGCCGTTCTTCATCAGCTTTACACGCCGGTGAGTTTCAGGGACAACATCGACATCAATAATGGCCGACACTCTTCGGAAATCCTCCGGCATGCTGATGTTGATGCGAGGCTTTGGAGGAGCCTCCGCATTCATCAGCTTGCTGATCGGATTACGCCGTTTCACACCTAGTGTTCCGTAACCATTGGCTTCACCATAGCTCTCCCCTGAAATTTCAAACAATTTTGAGAATGTTGTTGAATGGTACTGTGTAAATAAACAATGTAAAGACATTTGTATTGTAAAATGTAAAAAAAAAAATAAAAAAATAAGAAATTGAATATAAGTTAAATGTTAACTATGGATGGCTAGAAATTCATTTTTTGAAAACCACCGACAGTCGGGTTAATTTGCAATTTTACTAGTCCAGGTGCAAATCTAGTATTATTCAACATAATAAGTAATATCAATTTTTGACAAGTCAGTTGGGCTAGCAGATTTTAGAATCACTAGCCTGTCCAGTTGGAGATTTTATTAGTCTCACACTATTGGGCTACCCTTAGTGTTGAGCCCTGTTCTTTAAGCTAAACCATGACTTTTACTGAATGGATTTAACCTTATGCTCTATAGCAGTAAAGACTGTTACCTTTGCGCTGAATCATGACCCGCAGTAGCGGTTTGGCCATGGTGACAGCTCTGAAAAAGTTGTCATTGTTGTTGATAGGAAGCAGGTCTCCATTGTGGTCGGTGTACGTCACAACAAAGGGAATGTCCTCGAGGCTGTGTATTTTACCGAGCGTTTCCTCAAACTGAGTAAACTCACACTTCTGACTGTTGTCGATAGCAAATCTTCGGAACTCTGCATCAAACTGAAAGGGTCAAGATCACAGCATGTATAAGTTATTCTTGCATACTAGACCGAGATATCCCTGTTTTCACAGGTATAAGACAACAAACAAGAAATAGAATCAATCTCCGATGTGAGGTATATATGGCTAAGGTAATTCAAACCCTCAGGATAGAATATAGAGCAGAAGTTTGAATTACCGTACCTTATATATATCCATACCTACAATCAGGGATGGATTCTATCAATACTGCATCATAGTATATCATTTTATAGTGGTGCTCTGATGAATCAACTTTGTCAACAATTAGGCCATGGGCCAATAACAGACTACAGAATTCTTGAAATAATTGTATGAATAATGTCTGCTTTCAATTGTTTTGGCATTTAGAGTAGACATTCAGTAGGTTTAAAAATCCACTTAAGGTAATAGGATTGTGTCACCATTTCTCAGTAGAATTTCTTCAAATTTAGTAGTTATATTGCTTTGAAGTAAAGAAAATTTTCTGCAACAAAAAAAATATAGGTTGTCAGAATTTTAAGGATTTTAAATGGAAATGTATGTAAAAAAGAGTGAATTTTGAAAAAAAAATGAAACACACATTTTTTGGCATAATAATATCAACAAAAATGATAGTGACATAGATTAGTATCGCATTAATGTATATCAATTTCATAAATGCTGAAAATTGTGTAAAATTAATTATCTATAAACGATTAAAAATTGACATTTTATAATAAAACCATATGCACATAAATAATTGCATGTAAGAGTTATCGTTCTTGAAAAACTTCACAGTAGTGAAATAGGTAGCCGGAAAAAGTACAGAAAAATGGATACATGTGACTCATTGATTAAAAAACAACTGAATTAATGTCTGGATTGCTTTGAAATACATTAATATTGAAAGAACACTGTTCTGTCAATAAACAACATACAATATTCAGCAGTTTAATATTAAACATTAGAATATGTGGAAATTGTGATACTGTCTCTCTACATTGGGTTTTCAACTAGGGATGTACTTCCTATTTCCGCTTAGCAATACACTCCTATGATCATGACCTTAACTTGCTTGGGTTAACCAGTTTTAACGCTTAGGCAAGTGCAAAAAGTTTATCAATTTACCCGGAGCAGGTGCAACATAAATGTACTGGTTTTCTCCCTCCCTTCAACATGGGGTAAATAAAGAATAAAATACACTTAAATAATTATGTAACAAACAAAAAATCATGAAAAACAACTTCATTTTTCCTTTTAAGGAATTCTGACAATGTTTCAGATTTTCAGGCTGATGAAAATAACTGATACTCCAGCTAAATTATACAATAGTGATATGCAAAAGGATTGACTAACTTATTGAATTATTCATTGTACATGTATGTACAACTGAGGGAAATTTTTTGGCCTGAAAGAATGTCTGTTTATCAAACAGGAAGTGGCATTGGCGACGCATGACTAATAATTTAAAATCCAGACCCGGATTTCAGGAATTAAAAAATATACAACAGGAAAAGAAGGTAAAACAAATTAGATATATGATATTTATACTAAATCATTTTTATTATGATACTTAAAATTACTGAAAAAACAACCGCTAAAATATTTCAATAAAAATCAATTTTATGTAAAAAAAAATAAAAATGTTTTCTTTTGTCAGCATAATATCCATCTTATGGAGCATGTACAAATCATACTTGGGCAAGTTGATTTTAAGGTCTACTTGCCCGGGCAAACATGAAAGAGTACATGCACTTTGAAAAAATTGGACACTCCTGGACATTTTTCTGCTTATCAAAAAGAATGTATTTTATTCATTTTTTTTACATTCCATATTATGCAACATCATCATCAATAACTATGTGTGCAATGTCACGCATATAGGCCTATATCAATCTTCTATAAAATTCCTATCTTAGCCTCCATATTTCATCCAGTTGAAAATTGACCACAGATAATCATAGATTCCACTAGAGTATGACTCATGCATAAGGCAGCTAATATAATAGTACATGTGACAACTGGCCCTACCAGACAGTCTGTTGTAGTGATTTATAGAAAATGTAACAGGTGTGACCCAGTCTGCAATATACATAGCAATTAGTGTGCACTCATGCGGAACTTAACTAAAAACAATAGCTGTACAAAAATACTGATAATGAGACACATCCAGACGAATTAACAGTATCGAAATGTAAATTAAATTATGTAATCTTACCGAGTACACACCATACAAAATATTGGCCGGAGGGGGGGGGGGGTTAGGTAGGCATTTGTGGCCTTATGACAAGCGTTATCGCATATATAGATATATAGATATTACCGTCACTGCGTCTATATTTGAAACCATTTTTTGTACATTTCAGGTAAAAGTAAAATCAGTTTATGGAATGTAAACAAATGGACGTGAATTAAAGCTAATATAGACCCCAGGAAGTGAGACAGGTAGAGTGACACACCTTTGTATTATCGCGTTACCTGTACATTCAGCTCAATTTATATTCACTGTTCGGGCATACCTTGCTTTTTACTTCCACCATTCCGTTCTGCTGCCTGTGCGGCATCCGTGCAGACCTCGACATAGTGAAGTTTGGGCCCTAAACGGGCAGCTGAGTATAGCAAATTCCAACAACAATATTTTTTATGTTTGAGTAAGCGTTTTCCGATGACGTCACGAGATGTTATGTACAATATCCTTAAAACGTAATATTTTGTGAAGAATCCTTATTTAATGTATGAAAACGTAAAAAAGACTTTATGTTTTTATAGCATTTAACCATTTGATTAGAAAACTGTTTAATTTAGAATAGTGCATCCTGTTTGATACTTTGGTTTGAGATTTTGTTTACAAAAAATACCAAGATGGCGCGAAAGCTCAAAAGCGAAATGTGCTGAAGGCAAGATGTCCTTATCAAAATTTGGGCCACGCACCCGTTCACTTCGTCAATCTCCGTGGATTGTCAACAGTATTTGCAGTCCAACACGGAAACACAAGGGTCAAACCATCGATGTGATTAGAGTAAGTGTGGTAGAAAGTTAGTAACTATCGGGGGCGGGGGGACGGGGGGACGATTTCACGGATTTGGTATCTGTATCTGTAAGGTTCCGGATAAAATTAATAAATTGAATATCCGGGGAGGAGGAGTGGAGTAAAAATTAGTTTTTGAGGCTACTACGGAACTTGTCGACCGTAGTTGCGCTGATGGGGGATTCTTTTAGAGCGTTCCAATCGGTTATAGTGTACGTGGGAAGAAGGATTGTCCGTAGTTTTCAGTGTTGTACGATATCTGTTGTTATCCAGTATCTGCCAAAAACTCGCTTATATCAGTTATACATATAGGAATACGAGCCAATTACTGAAATCTCACAAAATGTTACAGGAGATTTCACGGATTTGGTATCTGTATCTGTAAGGTTCCGGATAAAATTAATAAATTGAATATCCGGGGAGGAGGAGTGGAGTAAAAATTAGTTTTTGAGGCTACTACGGAACTTGTCGACCGTAGTTGCGCTGATGGGGGATTCTTTTAGAGCGTTCCAATCGGTTATAGTGTACGTGGGAAGAAGGATTGTCCGTAGTTTTCAGTGTTGTACGATATCTGTTGTTATCCAGTATCTGCCAAAAACTCGCTTATATCAGTTATACATATAGGAATACGAGCCAATTACTGAAATCTCACAAAATGTTACAGGAGATTTCACGGATTTGGTATCTGTATCTGTAAGGTTCCGGATAAAATTAATAAATTGAATATCCGGGGAGGAGGAGTGGAGTAAAAATTAGTTTTTGAGGCTACTACGGAACTTGTCGACCGTAGTTGCGCTGATGGGGGATTCTTTTAGAGCGTTCCAATCGGTTATAGTGTACGTGGGAAGAAGGATGGTCTGTAGTTTTCAGTGTTGTACGATATCTGTTGTTATCCAGTATCTGCCAAAAACTCGCTTATATCAGTTATACATATAGGAATACGAGCCAATTACTGAAATCTCACAAAATGTTACAGGAGATAATGATAGATCAAGAACTGATCGAAGAAAACATCAAAGGCTTACCACTCTTTGCAAAATAAATAATGACAATTTCAATTTGTTTCTAAAATAATTATATCAGTTTGAAGAGCGACCCTGGCGCGGGTTGCTTATTTCCCGTATGTTATAGAGGGCCAGAGTTCTGGCGTTAATCGATGCCAGATCGATATAAAAAAAAGTCGATAAAACGTCAGAATAATTTGGACTATGCATGGCGAGGTACTTCTGAAAAGTGTCTTTGCACCATTGGCAAAATCATATTTGATATAAAAATATACCCAAATTATTTAAGTTTCAGAATCGTAAGTGCCTTTGAATTAATTTATGTTATATATATGGTGTCGATATATTCTGTACAGAATACCTGGATTGTTACTGTTGAATTGATAATTGCAGCATGTGGAGACAACGGCTGATGGCAGTATGGTGCGAGAGGTGGCGGATGGGGATGTTATCATCCGGGCAGTGTTCTCGGCGGAGGCAGTGGAGAAGTTCAGGAAGGAGTGAGTCATGTCTGACAATATAACACGCAGAAATTTTGTATGATTCTGTAATAGGAGCGTAAATAAACTCTTCAGTCTATACTGGTACCTCCCAAAGACATCACTATTTACAACCCAGGTTTGAGTTTCCCCTTGCCAAGCTTTCACCCAGTACTTGAAACAAGGGTTGGTCACAGGCACCAAATGAGCAAGGAGTGGAAAAAATGCACAGCCAGACCAAGGTTAAAATCCAGGGCTCGTTTATAACTCTAGACAGACGCTCTACCATTTGATCTACGTGTACCTAGTTGCCAATGATCAGCCCAGTCCAGTTCCGCTACACTTTTACGAAATATATGTATACTACATATCTCCTGCTTCATACATACATATAGTAGAGTTCAGACCAGATTGTTTTGAACCAGGAAAAAAAGTTACATTAATTTATCCAGGTGTTTTATTTCATAAATTGAAAATGATCATAAAATAAATTATAAACATGAGCTTTATAGCGAATTCATATGAAGTGTTCCGAAGTAGTAAGAAAAGTATTAAAATGTAACAACTGCTAAAACTAGTACAGTATGTTGTCAATATGATGTTATTTTAAAAATTGAATAAAAGAATCTTCCCTTACAAAGAGGGAATTACAGAGAAATTCTTTACCCCTAGTGATATCCTTGATTGTTTAATCCGAATTCGAAGCTTCCTTCAACCCGAGGGTTAGTGCTAGATACTCTTGAATCAAGGGGTAAATTCCTTTGATATATTGATATGTTAATCATTGACACAACATTTTTTTAGTTTTGCATGATAATTGTATATTATAACCCTTTCACCACTGTAGACCAAAATGGACTCAACCAGATCAATGCATGGTAGAGTTTACTAAAGTTACATAGGGGTGAAAGGAATAAACTGTCAATGCCAGCAAAATTGGTCTAAGGAGTTCGGGGTGGGCTTATTTACGGAATTGAGCTTTTTAGTTCTGCTTCGTTCCAGACAGGAGGATTCTGACAGCTGCCCATTAGACTGGAACCAGGCCCTCCTGCTGGTTGTCGAGTACCACACGGAATTCCGACCCCACAGGAATCTGGTATGTTATTGCTGATCGGTGTATATGAATATGACATCAGTATTTAGTTGATATGATTGTGAATATTGTTTTTTTCTGGTATTAAACAAGGTTGCTAATATTGCACATAAAAAAAATCACATTTAGCGAAAATATGTAGTCATAACATATTACTACATTTAGTTCGTCCATTTCTGATTTGATTTTGGTGTGGGAGAATGTGAAATAGTGGTTTTTATTTAGATGTTGAGATATAATTACGATGTTTTGACCGATTTTACTTTAGCTGGTACTCCTTGCATTCATTGAGATAAATATTAATGTGGATTTGAATTTTTGACTGCTTTACTCACACAAGTATAGTAAGAAGATGTTTTCATAGTCTGTTTAAGAAATCTCTTTCTGTATAAATAAAAGATGAAGGTCAAAGTCTAATCACAGGAAATATACTGTAACGATGACATGATTGCTTGTTTGTCTACAGGCGCAGTGCGAGTTTGTTCTTCATATCAACCTGTTCAGGCTCTGGGATCTCCAGGAAGGCTTCCAGAGGAAACACAGACTCGTCCACTGGTACTATATACCACATATCTATGTTGGCTTTAATAGGAGTTAATAGGAGAACTTTAATAGGTCATTCGTCGATACAGGCATTGCTTGCTGCCTCTATTTCCACATCAATACAATGTGAAACATTTTGTGGTAAAAATAAAGTTTGGTCTTTATAAGAAGCTGTTTGTCAGATCATATTTTAACTCAAATTTTTTCCAGAATTGGTTTTCTTTTTAATTTTAAGGCACTGTATTCCTAATTAAACTTAGAGTAACTCACACAGTTATCTTCGGTTCAGATTATAGGGAAAGTCTTAGTACGGGAGCAGTTAGCCCTTTTCTAGTTCCTTTAAAATGGATCCAAGACATTGGCCTGTAATGTGAAATCATTAATTTTCATAATGTAGTTGATTTTGTGGGTAACCTTCATCCACAAATTTATAGGTCCACCAAGTTATTACAAGTTTGATGTAATCCAAAAATTAATGTACAAACGAAATGGCGTTTTGTTGGGAAACCGTGAAATTTGTGTAGCACTTGACCATTGTCTATTATCTAATACATTTATAGGGAACTGGTTCTCCAGCTGTTGTCCTGTATATTTATCAGATCAAAAGGATATCTTTAATTAACATAATAAGTAGAGTAGACTTTTTCATTTCTCAAAGTCCTATGCAAATTTTAGCATCTAATTATTTGACTGAAATATTTACATATCTGAATGCCTGCCAATGGCTTGTACCGTTCAGTTTCTTTCAAAGTTACCCTGATCTTATCATATGATCATAAGTCTGATTTAACTGTTCAGTAGTGAGGATGTGCACTTAAGACTAATGTTTATATTTGCAGCGAGGCAGATGCGAGAATACAGAAGAAAACCAAGGAACTATGGGAAGAAAAACAGTGAGTTACATATGTTATATCTTCGAGACTCCAGGGTTTACACTTACGTGTGCTCTCTTCACCCCTGGAATATGTCATAACAAATTTTAAAGCACAAAGATAGCTGTTTGATTGTTTTGTTCTCAGGTAAAAAAAATCCTGACCAATCACTAGGCTGATAACTGTCCTTTGAAGATTACAGAGGAGCGACACCCGACTTAAAAGCCAGTCAATTTTAACTGTTATTAGATTGCAAAATTCTTTTGATGTACATCAAAGGATTGAACTAGTCTTGTTGTCTCAAAAACGAGGTGGCGCACACTGGGCATAATACCGTTTCTGGAGCCTCGAAGTAGCATATTTCAGCACTTAAGTTACATATATGATTCCTTGATGCAGACCTGAGTTTTCTCTGTATGGAGATCTGTTGTGACATCACTCTGACAAAGGAAAAAAGGTCTTTCACATCAGCTTTAATTTTAAATGATTGTAATAAAAGCTTTTGTCATGATCAAGCTTTTCGGTGGTCGCCTTCGGGTATCTTGGTTGAAACGGTTCAGGTTTTGCAGAAATATTACGTAATAAACGAACACACTTGGACCGAACTGTAAGCACTAAAAAATGCACATTTTCAGAGTTTTCTATTGACAAATGAATAATAATTATTCAAGATTAGCATGTCCTTCTTTAAAGTCAGAATTAAATAACATATCCTAAACTATCCTCTAAGGTGAATCAACCTTGTTTTATAATAAAAATAACGATAATTAGCAATTGTAAGCATTTTAATTTCGGTCAAGCACATCTTGACCCCTCGATACCCATGTGCCCTATATTCCTCAGGCGAGTCTCAGTTCAGATCTGGAGCATGTCACTTTCTTTTCAGGTTCAGCTGGTTGAAACGGTTCAACCCGATATGCAAAAGGGGCCTTGGTTTTAAATCTTGGTTTTCAGTGATGCAACGTCTTTGGCCAGATACCGGTAACATTTAGAATTATTGCACTTTTTTCAGAATTGAATGGCAGAGAGAAGAAGAGCAGAAAAATTCAAAACCAACAACATCCCATTTATCACAGCATAACGAGTCGGTGGCCAGTGTTACTCTCACACAGCTACTGGAAGAAATGGCCAAAGACGATGCACATAAAGAAACAACTAACGAAGAAATGCATGGGGAAATGGCTACGCAGGGAACTCAAAACATGATGACCAGACAAGGGACGAAAGAAGGGACAACCAGACTGTATAGACAAGAGGAAACGTCTGAGCAGGATAAGACGAAGGAATTGGCGGGACAAGATAAACAGAATGACAACACAAGGCAGGGAAGACAGGAGAAAACACCCAGTCTGACAACACAGAACGGTAGGTTTTCAGTCAGGAAGACTGACGTGAAAAAATGCTAAGCAGAAATGGTATTTTGTTTAGAGAAATATAAACAGTTACTTATATAAAAATTAATTACTTTGAAGTGAGTTGGAACATTTCATGTTTAAGTTCTGAACCAATGTTGGGCATACTTGGAAATTAAGGGGTCACGCTAACTTGTGTGTTCTGAACCCCTGGAATATGTCATAACAAATTTGAAGGCACAAAGATAGCTGTTTGATTGTTCTCAGGTAAAAATAAATATCATGACAGTACAAAACAAAATAAAAGGCCTTTGAAGATTTCAGAGGAGCGACACCTAACTTCAAAGCTGGCCAATTTTACCATTTCACTAGTACTGCCACGCAATTCGTCACTGTAGACCATAATGGACTCCTCCATATCAATGCATGGTAGAGTCTACTTAAGTTACATAGGGGTGAAAGGGTTAACAAATCAAACTACCTTTGTCATCCACAAGCCTTCAATTTCATCACAACGTGTTATAAGGGGTGCAGAAATCTTAAGAGAGCACAACCTCTGGAACTAAGAGGATGACTTGAGATGTTATCTTTCAATAATAACAATAATAATTTGAGGTTCTTATATACCGCTTTATCACAACCTAGTTCGTAGGTCGTCTCAAAGCGGTTCACAAATTATTTTCCGTGGTTATAGGGCCTTTGCAACCAGCCAACATCTTTCTCAACTCCCTGGGGAGCATACAGCCGGTGCTGCCATTTCGACGCTCATAGCTAGCATTCTACAATTCTAGCACTGCCCAACCACATACTCATTTACAGCTGAGTAGACTGAAACAAGTGGAGTAAAGTATCTTGCTCAAAGATACAACACAGTGCCGTGCTGTGACTCAAACCCGCAACCCTTCGGTCATGAGCCTGGCGTCCTAACACTAGACCACTGTGCTTCCTAAATTTTTTTTTACTTTCTTACAATAAATAGATTGATATACAGATTTCCTATTCCAAACATGCTATATCTGTTTACTTATGGGAAAATTTAGCTGTGCGGTTAAGACTCCAGCCTTCTCAGATAAGGTATCTCCTAAGAAGTTCTCTAATTGTATTGATTGTATCAGTTGTTATGGATTGTAAAGCACAAGAGGCTTCCTTATTTTAGCTAGATAGGGGCGCAATATCGAAAGTTATTCTTATGATAATGGCATTTAAGAATTTCAGTTGTACAGTTTTGAATTGTACATAGAGTAATGGTAGCCTTTTAACTTTGACTTTGAGCAAGAGGGAATTTCCTTTTAGCTTAGTGGTAGAGCATCTGACTAGGTAGTCCGGGATTGCGGGTTCAATCCCCGGTAGAAGCACACTACTCTCTTTCCTGTTACAAATAGTGTATGTGGCCCTCCCTGAGGTGACAGAGTTAGAACCTGGGTTATTGTGGTGTTCTAGGGCGCACACATTTAAAAAGGGGGGAAGTAATATTGCAGATTTTAATTTAACATCTAGGTATGCGGTTGTCTTCCAGCTTTGTGCTAGAGGGAATTTCCCTTTAGCTCAGTGGTAGGGCATTCGATTAAGAAATCTGGGATCACGGGTTTGATTCCGGGTGAAAGCTCTTTACTCTCTTTCCTGTTACACAAGTTATATCGCCAGTTGAATGAGTAACTGGTCCCCGTCAACTCTAACCAATACTTTCTGTCAAAAAATGACATTCAAATTCATTTGTATTGGAGCAGGGGCATTCATGTCTTGACAGAGATTCTTTAGTTTTTTATTCACCAAAGCTACTGTATAGATTAAATGTTATGATTGTTTTTTTGTGTGTTCTACAGAGACCTCTGGCAACAGGGAAATTTCCAATAACCAGGATCTGAGGAGACCCTTCATAATTGCCGAGCTTTTAATACCAGAACATGAGCGACTCATTTTAGAGGAAATTGCAGGTTTGAGCTTGAATTTGTTGACCTTCCACATACACTAATTTCATAAAAGATTGTATTTTTAACACTGATCTGTATTAGGGTATGCTAGTCTCTTATAGATTTAGTATAGATATTGACCAAGTTCATCAGAATCAGATGATGTTTTGTTATGTTAGGGTGCAGAGACTGTCGACCAGTTAAAATAATTTTTACTGCAATTTATGCGTAAATTTCCCTCAAATTCAAACTTAGTATTAGTGTCTGTTTGTACAATAAATATGATGAACAACTTCATTATTGAAAAATAGACAATATCATGGAAAAGCTGTAAATGTTAATTAAATATTTGTAATATTAATGCTATTACATGAGAGCAGAACAGGTCAAAGGGAGTATTTAGTGAGCGGGCTACCAAAAAATACCATTACTCAGACCTGACCAAGCCTTCATCATCAGAATCATTTAAAACATATTTTTTTGTAAATTTCAGTTTGGAAATACTGAAAATATTGGCTGATCACACTGAAAATTGTCGGTCCATAATTATAAGCTTATTGAATGGCCAATGTATTCAGTTTGTTACATGTATATATAGTTTAACCATAGTTAATTCAGTTCTGTGACATAGTTCACATGTTACTTATGTACATTTGTGTGGGTTAAATTTGTCTGTCGGACAAAGCATAAACCTCCAGCTGGCAGTCTGTAATGTAGGGATGCAACAATATATCATGTGTTGACATATTGGGACGTTTTGAAAATGGTACAATACACTATATTTTTGGGGAGGTTACAATACACCTACCATATTTTCCTGATTTTGTCGCTTCTGAATTTTAGTCTTCTCATATTGGTTCCAACATGGCAGATGACAGCTCCAGCTCGGCATACAGGTCAGGATCATTAGACTTGAATTGTATGAAAGTCATGCCCGTTTTGGACCAAGTCTATTTCCAGTTGTAATATTGCCATTAAAAACTTTTCTCTTTGCTTCTACTGTTACTATATGTATCGTATCATGACAACAGTATCGTGATACGTATTGTATCGTCATGTCAACGTATCGTTGCAGCCCTACTGTGATGTATTAAATTTATTGATAATTTTATGTATCTCATATTTGGTAGATGTAGGGCTCTTTAAGGTTTATTTCAGTGATTATTTTGGAGCTATGCAAATGTTTTTACCATATTGGTCCTAATAATAGCCCAGGCGATTATTAGAACAGATGATAAGGATAAGTAGGGGATGGGCAATTATTGGAATCAGTGATAACACCCACACATCATCAAGTTAGGGATGGGCAATTATTGGAATCAGTGATAACACCCACACATCATCAAGTTAGGGATGGGCAATTATTGGAATCAGTGATAACACCCACACATCATCAAGTTAGGGATGGGCAATTATTGGAATCAGTGATAACACCCACACATCATCAAGTTAGGGATGGGCAATTATTGGAATCAGTGATAACACCCACACATCATCAAGTTAGGGATGGGCAATTATTGGAATCAGTGATAACACCCACACATCATCGAGTTAGGGGATGGGCAATTATTGGAATCAGTGATAACACCCACACATCATCGAGTTAGGGGATGGGCAATTATTGGAATCCGTGATAACACCCACACATCATCGAGTTGGCAATTACTAGAGTCAAAACTTATTTAGAATTCAAATTTCTACAAGGCTTATACTGTACAAGAAACAACAAACCCATTTTCATACAGACTGGTTAATCGCTTCTGGAGAGTCCATAGTTACACGTTTCAAATGAAGCATATTTGTGTTGCAGAATGGAAAGAAGGTTACATGCCGCCAGAGACGAGTGTGACTGCCAGTTCTGAGGAGGTGGGCTCAAGTGATAAGATTGAAAGCTACGTGCGTCACACACTGATCGATGATGTGTCGAGCATGGAGACGTTGGGTCGGCCATCACCACCGAAAAAAGGTATGCATATATCAGATGAATCAATAGGCTGTAATGATTTTTCCTGTGTTTTGGAGGTATTCAGTTGGAATAAAGAGGGCGAAGTTGTTCCGGAAGCCACTTCAAATGAATACATTGGATATGAAATAAGTTACTTAAAAAAATTGTTATCTTTTGCACAGAGGGCCCCAGAACAAAATGGAACAAAGTATTTGTGCACTGATCATGATTTAACATAAAAAAAAAGAATATCTTCAATAAGTCAAATTAGTCAAATGACATACTCAAAATAGCGCAATATCCAGGCCTTTCAGTGAGATATAAACATGTACAGCACTACGCTGTTTTCCGACAACACAGTGTCAGTTATGAGTCTGAGTACACACATAACACATTCTTGTTGAATTGACACAATACATCGCAAGTAACAATTATAAGTATCATAAGATATACCTCTAATATGATATTTCTGTTCACATTTGGATTTGAATAAAAGCGAACAGGTTCAGTAAGAGCAAGCATGCACTGAGAGGGTGCTGCCAGGGAGAATTTCAAACCGCAGAAAGTATGATATCAAAAGGTTTAAACGTAAAAAAAGATCACTCATTTATAACGATGTTTGAGATGGAATAAATGCATGTACTTGTATTCCAGAGAGGATAGGTAAATTAGCGAGAAGTTACCTTCTCTCCTCGGCTAGAAAGACATTTTTGTTAGCCAGAAATTCACCGACAGCTGCCGCTAAAACGTACGGCTGTACAGTTAAGGATTTCTTCATTACTGATCAAGAACGTCAAGAAAAAGTGTATCTTGTCAATATCTCGACAAGTAATGTCCCTGAAGTGTATCAAACTGTATAATCATGAAGATTTTCGTGACATGGTTATAAAAAAAAATACTTAGCTAAATTGTTCCTTGAATTATGAATGTCGAATATGTCTGTCATAGCTGAGAGCATTAAACTCTGAATGAACAGATATTGATAGCATTTTAAAAGCCGATTGGTTGACTTTTACAGGAAGAAAAGATGTAACACCAATGGAAAGGACAGATACTCAGGTACGGTGGAAACAGTTCAATTACACAGTGCTTCATGTTACATTTCATGCAGTAATATCAAGCAACTTTATTCAGTTTTGTCGATCCTATGGGAAAAGTCCTAATTATAAGGACAAATGTCTTTCAATGCATATTTTACATTGTATACATTTGACGCTTTGGTTTCAATAATGAATCAATTATGGAATTATTGGAATCAGAACCAAATGGATCAATTATCCATCTTAATTGATCACCAGCCCATCACTCCAAAATAGCACATAAAATTTATAATTAGATGCTATGAAATCAATGATGTACATTTTCCCACCCTGGCTTAATGAAACCTAAGGAGGTGCCATCACTATCATCTTTCTCTTGAAAAATGCATACACTATATATATATACTCTTCACCTTGATATGAAAAGTGGGATATTTTTTACAGAAATACAGTAGTTCTTTTAATGTCACATATATATGTTTACAATTTAATCTTGCTTGTAACAAGCATTTTCATTGGCTTAAAAATTTATGTTATCATCCCATAACGTAAAAAAAAATGACGTCGCCGTTTGTAACGTCGCTTTTGATTGGCTGATACAGCGGCGTAATAATTTTTAAGAGAAAAGAGTCCATCAATAAAAGTGGATTTCCACAGGGATTGTGTATAGCAGATTAAATTATAAGAATTAACTTGAATATATTTTTTATGTTATGTAGCTATAACACAAAAAACCGGAGTGTGCTCTCATCATAAACCGCTTCATGGTTTATTTAGAGTACACTCCGTTTCTTTGTGTTATATCTCCATAACATAAAAAATATATTCAAGTTAATCCTTAAATATCACATTGCCATCGGTCTGACACATAACATTATCAGCGATGTCCTGTATGCAAATTGTAAAATGAGGAAATAAAATACGAAATTTTGTATTCATTTGTAATTATCCAGGGATATGTATGCATGTCATGATTTTGTTTCTGCTGTCACAGGAAAATAGTGGTTATGATGTGTATTGCTTTCTTCCCTTCAGGGGGAAAATAGGATTTCCAATTTCCAGGAGGCATCTCCTGGAGGTGGTGCGGGTCATGGCAGTACACAGCGAGTCGGAAGGTCTGCCACCTCTCCTGAACAGTGTCATGGTTTCACAAATTCTACACGGCAAAATGCCTCCGAAGCATCGATTGAAAATCTGACTGAAAATGACACGGGACATAATGTTGTTAAAACCGTGAACACAATTCTTGGATTGACTGACGTGCAACCGGAAAATATTCCCTCCCAAACAGAAAATTCATGTCAGAATTTGAATGATTCAGGACCATTTATAATGATGTGTGATATTCCGGAGTCACAGGGATTCATCCCATGTGTGTCCCCAGAGAACGGATCCTCTTCTGATACAAACAGAGGAAAGGTCGCTATTTTGGATGAGACTGTCACACTGACTCAACACAGTAAATCCTTGGAAGCTTTAGATGTAGAGGAAGAGAAAAGACTAGAAAAACTGGCCACACCCAGTAAAGGTTTCCCCGGCTGTAATGTAACGATACCAGAGAGGACCGAGCAACAATCAACTACAAAACAACAGGACAGACATATCGGGGATAGTGACGGAGACCGGACAGACGATGAACTCGTTGCAATAAAACATAAAGCGAGGGTCAAAAAAATACCGAGAGAAGAAACACCGTATTCTTCTTCCCAAACAGACAGTGAACCCGACAATCAGGTGAAGAGGCGCCGCCTCACTTTCTCAGTGGCTAAATTAGGAAGCAGTTCCTCATCTCCAGGAAGCAAGAGAAAAGGAAATGTGATCGGCAAAGACATTTCTTGCCAACAAAGTCCTGAAATGAGAAATCAGACTGAAGATGTGGTGCAGAATTCCCCAGAGCCTCAGGTATTGGAACACGCTGTGTCAGGGCTCAGGGGGAGCAGATCACAGGGAACTGTGAAAAAGCGCCATGTGACAGGGAAAACACCAACTGATAAGGACTCGGTCACTGAGGCTATCATCATTAACAGTAGCCAGGAGAGTATTTCTTCTGGGGACAGCCCTTCAGGTAAGATAACTGGACATTCTGGGGACAACCATGGCCCACAGATAAGGTCACTAGTGGACATTCTACAAATGACCACTCAGAAAATTATACATTACATAAATGGCCACTTAGATAAGGTTATATTACTGGATAAATAAGGGACTGCAGCCATTGACCTACTTAACATTGATTGACATTCTGGGGACAACCCCTTATCTGGTCTTCATACACATATCTTTTCTGCACCCCTGGAATATGTAATCACAAAATGGAAGGCTTACAGTAAGCTTTATAATTGGGTTCAGTTATAAAACTCTTCCCAATTACTAAATCTGATACCTGTCATTTAAATCTTACACCAAATTTCAAAACTTGGTAGTTTTACCGTAATTCTGCCACATGATTCTTTTGATCTTCATCAACAAAATTAGACTTGTCTATTTGTATATATTTATATTTACATTTGCACAGCAAGTTCCTCTATAAACATTACCATAAGAAATTGCCATCATAGGGCTATGAAGGCAATCGGATCAGCATCTCCTCCCACTTTGAATAACATGAGACAACCACTAGAAACAAATATTAAAATGTAAATATAAGGATTGAAGGACATTTTTTTTTAATTTACTACGAAGCCATAGCGGGTTTCATGGAATATGTATGAAACCAATTTGCATTCATACCATCATGAATTTGAAAAATTGCCGTTCAATCCTTGTGTATCATCCGCAAGGTGTCGCCTGAAGATATTTCTATTTTCGAAAGGTGCAGAGAAGATATGAATATTCGAGGAATGCCTTTAGTATATAACTAAGGTTGCTGGGAAATTGCAAGCCTGTATGTTGAATAAGTCATGTAGAGATACTCCATCAGGTTGCCTGACATATAGTAATGTTAACTTGTGTTTTCATAACAGTTTTAAAGTCTACAAAGAGAAAAAGAAAACGGGACCTGGACGACTGGACTTGTCATTCCCTGCCATCCTATCAACCACCAAAACTCAGCCAATCAGAGAGCCCGTCTCTCCAGCCTCAATCTAGCCTATCACAGAACCTGTGTTTCCCACTGTCGGACACTACCCTCGCAGACAAGGCCATGGTAAGTGTTGACAATAGGAATATTGATCTTGTTAACTTTTGTATTATAGCATGAGATTTATTGATTTAGGGATACTATTGTAAAAGAAGTGCATTGATTAGGTTGCCTTACAAGCATCAGCTGTAGGGAATTTCCCTTTAGCTCATCAGCATGCGCAGTAGAGCATCGGCTGGAGAGCCAAGGGTCGCAGGTTTGAGCCCCAGCGACGGCACTATCTTTATCACTTTTCCACGTCCTACTACAAACTGGTGCCGTTGACCCTCCCCCTTCAAGGTAGGAGAACCCTTGGCGAGGAGTCAAAGAACCTGGGTTGGTGATTGTAAAAAGTTGGATTAGTGTAAAAGAAGTGCATTGATTAGCTAGGTTGCCTTACAAGAGTCAGCTGTAGCAAATTTCACTTTAGCTCAGCAGTAGAGCATCGGGCTGGAGAGCCAAGGATCACGGGTTCAAGCCCCAGTGACGGCACTATCTTTATCACTATTCCTCGTCCTACTACACTATTGATATAGGAATTAGAGGTTGTGGTAGATTTGGATGTGGGGCCGCTGTGGCCAAGTGGTTAAGGTGTCTGACCATCTTCGATCACTAGCCCTCTACCTCTTGAGTTATGGGTGCAAGCCCTATGTAGTGCAGTCACAAGGTACTGGCGGCAGATTGTTTGTTTTTCTCAAGATACTCCAGTTTTCTTCCACCACCAAAACCTGGCTTGTCCTCTAATGGCCATAGCTTTTAATAGGACATACAACTCAAACAAACCAAATACTTAGATGTAGAAATATTTCCATTGTGCCAAAATGTCACTATTGTATAACTTTTAAAATCATTTGAACACAATAAATCTCAAACCATGGCAGCAATTTAACCCTTTCAACCCTAGGTAACTTAAATGGTCTCTACCATGCATTTATCGGGATGAGTCCATTATGGTCTACGGTGGTGAAAGAGTTAACCCTTTCACCCCTATGTAACTTTAGTAGACTCTACCATGCATTGTATGGATGAGTCCATTATGGTCTACAGTGGTGAAAGGGTTAAAGGATGCTAAACATTAAAATTAAGACCGCACCATGATGGATATCCTTGATGGATATCCTTGATGCTACTGCTAGTTTACATTCTTTGTTCTGTTGTTTTCAGCTGCTTGCCTCACTTACAGACCTGACGGCACCCACAGAATTAGGACAAAAATTACTAGCTCTGAAATTTTCCGACAGGCTTGTAAACCAGATGGTGGATTTCTACACACATGGATAGTGTGGGATGTTTAACTAGAAGCCATAGCATGGATTTTGAACTTGATCTCTGCAGTTTTAAGCAAGGCAATGTTTATGGTGCAGTTTTTAATCAAGCGACATTTTGTGATGAAACATTAATATTTGATACAAAAAAATAACTTACCTTGATTAAAGTAGGAATGAACCACAAACATTCTACATACATGTATATGCTTTAAAATCTATATTTTTACCTAACACAAAGTTAATCTGGTACATATGTATATATATTTAATACATTGAATCTGGATTGTTAAATGAGATATTATTTCTGTGAAAAGTTTTGATAACATTTTGTTGAAAATATTGTTTTTATATGTCTGCTTTTGTTTGCGCACACACACACACACACACACACATGTATTTTTTATTATCTTCCATTACTGTTGAGTAAGATTTAATAGATTGCATCCTTTACCATCAATCTCACCAACATAGCTGTCGGTGGGTGTGTTTTGTACTTTTGGCATTAGTCTGGTTAAAATCATGTTAAAACAATGACATCAACTTTAAGAGATAAGATATTTTATTCAACTTCATTTCTAGAACTAGACTTAAAAATCACAAAATTTGAATTAGTATTGATCATGATGTTTGTTGCAAATGATATTTTTTTTACATTTTTTGACAGGAATTCACTGAAGTGTTTAGTTGGTATTCATAGTCACGTGAATGCCAACTGAAAATCACAAGTTCCAAATTTGTTAAAAGTGAAATTCATTATTTACCATTTTGAAATATTTTGATATAATACAAAATCAGAAGAATCCAACAAAATTCAGCTTTTGATAAATTTATTGTTTGATAAAAATTAAAAGTAAAGAAAAGAAAACAACCATCTTAAGTAAAGAAAAGAAAACAACCATCTTCTAATGGGAGCAAATGGTAGCCAATGCCACACTTATGTTGTCACAGTTAATAATTATGATGTCGAAAATTGGGTCGTGGCATTCTGATATGAGTGCCATCTGAACTTGGTAAGGAAATGTAATGACACTACATGACAATAGTAAGATACTGTGTGTTAACAATTCATATGTCAGACCAGGATTTAGTTATCAAACCGAAATGAAAATCTAGCATGTGTATAATGCTTTACTCAGCCAATAGACTTTTGCTACACGAAAAGAGGTTTAACAAGCAATTTTACTGTAATTCACCTGTATTTCATGGGATATTTATTTATGCAAAAATGCACAATGAGAGTATACGATTAATTCATATTTATATCACAATTGTTTATACATTTATACATACATATATATACATGTGTATACTCAAACAATGGTAGTATTTTTACTGTCACACCCGAGGCTCTGGTTGAGATTTGCCTGTCTGTATTATGCAGTCATCACAGATTATTTTTCTCCTTAACATTTCCTGGTTCAAGAAAGCTATATTGTCAAACTAGTGCTACATGTACCACATTTGCACACATGTGCCAAAATTGATGCCATGCATGCTATTTTGATATTGTTATTCTGCATAACCAGACATTTTATCCTATCATTAAGAGATGAGTCATGCGACTAAAATAAACACATGTATCAGGTGTTTTTTTCTAAATATAGTGAAAAATTTATATATTTTTTCAATGTCTGGAATGGTTATTAAACCTGTTTATTGTAGAAAAACATGATTTCTGAAACAGAAAAGTATCATAAATTGTTTTTTTAATTCAATTGTTCAGAACCTGGTTGATGAAAATGCTGTTTATGTTAATTTTATAAGTACAGTCCATTGCCTGTCTCAGATTTTGACATATTTTATATTACACATTTGTATTTATAATGATACTTTGGAATTCACCAGGGAGGCATGTTTTGACTTGGTGTATTGTTGATGAATTGTCACTTAACCCTTTCACCCCTATGCAACTTTAGTAGACTCTCCCATTCATTGATCTGGATGAGTCCATTATGGTCTACAGTGGTGAAAGGATTGAGGTTTCTTTAAAGGTTTTTTGGTGTTTTTTTTTTTTATAAAATCGAAGTGTGGATTCTTTTGAAACCCCACCCTCCCTTTGTTGTTTGAAGCATACCTGCGCCAAAGGAATGAAATTACGTATATATGAGTGAGGATGTGCAGTCCATCCTAAATACAGGACTTTGCATAATAGAGAACATAGGACAAAATAAAGGAAATAGAGCCCACTAGATGAAATAAGGATTTATCTTTAAAGGTCCACTCTTTGATAATACCTGGACCAAGAGAATTAATTATTTTGGTATATAAAGTAGATTGGCCCCTGACAATAGTAGGACAGGGCTTAATGGTAGTAAACGAATAAACAGATATTTACTTGATTAAGAAACATCCAAAAGCCAAGCAAAAATAAACTATTTCTGAGAAAAATGTATAATGAAGATAATTACCGGGTATGGCTTCCTTGAAATATAAGGGTGAACACAGGAGGTACAATGCTCAAAAGATCACTCTTTAAATATAAGATATTTTCACGTAAATAGATTGTATTTTATATAAATGAAGGTTGTGTCTGAATGTGTCCCTTTGATTTATGAAGGTCATGAAATCACACGTTCACATGCTTGAACGAGGTTTTACATATTACAATGTAGTTCTAAATTCATGTTAACGGTATGCAATTGTTTGCCATATTTGATGAGTTAAGAATAAAATCTGTTAGTGACTCTTATTGTTTGTTATGATGTTATTTAAAGTTTTCTGTCCTCAGTATTTCCCCTGCACTTGTAACTTGTTATGGTTCCCGGTTAAACAAAGCCGACATGTGATACTAATATCTTTAATTTTACACTAGCCCGAGTTTCCTCTGGCCCCCGACACCAGACTTAGACATTAGGGTAGTCGGGTGGTGCAGTGGATAGCGCACTTGCTATTCACCAAGGCGATTAATACAAGTTGAAATAACTTGTTTCATAATTGTTGTAAAATTAATAAAGTGTATCTCTTTTTTTATACATTTTGACAGATAGATGTCTAAACCAGACATATATCTGTCAAAATGTCGTAAGTCTGGTGTCAGGGCCAGAGGAAACTCGGGTTAATATTACACCTGTACCAAGTTATTGATAATGCTATCATACTTTGATAGTGTTACATATATAGATACATTTACATTCTGTATGCTTGGACCCATTGACGAAAATGACATTCATTTTTGCATAACACAGGTGACCTCATCACTGCGTATTGATACACTACAATGACGTAGCACAGGGCGTAGATGGTACACGTCCGCCGTGCAACATCCCTCGATGGAGTTTAGTTATGATGATATGATTAACATTAAACATGATATGCTTGATTTTAAAAATCAAATGGGGTGTGTAAGGTACATGATAATAATATCCGACTTATGTAAATTTAACTAATTAAATTTTGAAAATGCGTTGCCCCAATTCATAATAGAAACAAGAGGCCCAATGGGCCTGCATCGCTCACCTGGTATAAATCTCACACTTGCAACCTTAAAAATGATCTAAAATAAAGCTACAGGCAAAATATCAGTACTTATGATTAAAGTCATTCAAAAGAACCTGTTAAAAGATTTTAAAACATTTCACCCCTGTTACTTTGAAAGTCAAACAAAGTCATTATGTTGAACAAATTGTATAGCCTTTCATCTCAGTATGCAACTTGCAAAGTATCAATATCCTGGGACCCATGGTTATTCAGAAGAGGTCGTTTAAAGATTTTAAGCAAATTTGACCCCTGTGACCTTGAATATAAGTCGAAGTCATTCACTTTAACAAACATAGTAGTCCTTGATCTGACTAAATATCAACATCCTGAACCTTTTGGTTATTCAGAAGAAGTTATTTAATGTTTTTCACATATTTGACCCCTGTGACCTTGAATATAGGTGAAGGTCATTCAAAACAAACTTGAAAGCCCTTTACCCAAGCATGCTACTGGCCAAATATCATCACCCTGTGCATTTTGGTTATTCAGAAGAAGTTGTTTAATGTTTTTAACATATTTGACCTCTGGAACATGAATATAAGTGAAGTTCATTCATTCGAACAAACTTGATAGCCCTTTACCCCAGCATGCTACTGGCCAAATATCATCACACTGGGCATTTTGGTTATTCAGAACAAGTTGTTTAAAGTTTTTAACATATTTGACCCCTGTGACCTTGAATATGGGTGAAGGTCATTCATTTCAACAAACTTTGTAGCCCTTCATCTTAGCATGCTACGGGCTAAATATAATCACCCTGGGCATTTTGGTTATTCAGAAGAAGTTGTTTAAAGTTTTTACATATTTGACCCCTGTGACCTCGAATATGGGTGAAGGCCATTCATTTAAACAAACTTTTTAGCCCTTCATCTTAGCATGCTACGAGCCAAATATCATCACACTGGGGATTTTGGTTATTCAGAAGAAGTTGTTTAATGTTTTTAACATATTTGACCCATGTGACCTTGAATATGGGTGAAGGTCATACATTTCTACAAACTTTGTAGCCCTTCATCTCAGCATGCTACGAGCCAAATATCATCACCCTGGACATTTTGGTTATTCAGAAGAAGTTGTTTAAAGTTTTTACATATTTGACCCCTGTGACCTCGAATATGGGTGAAGGTCATTCATTTAAACAAACTTTTTAGCCCTTCATCTTAGCATGCTACGGGCCAAATATCATCACCCTGGGCATTTTGGTTATTCAGAAGAAGTTGTTTAAAGGTTTTTTAAGACAATTGACCCCTGTGACCTCGAGTATGGGTGAAGGTCATTCTTTTAAACAAACTTTTTAGCCCTTCATCTTAGCATGCTACGAGCCAAATATCATCACCCTGGTCATTTTGGTTATTCAGAAGAAGTTGTTTAACGTTTTTAACATATTTGACCCCTGTGACCTAGAATATGGGTGAAGGCCATTCATTTGAACATACTTGGTAGCCCTTTACCCAAGCATGCTACTGGCCAAATACCATCTCCCCGGGAAGTTTGGTTATCGAGAAGAAGATGTTTAAAGTTTTTACATATTTGACCCCTGGGACCTCGAATATGGGGAAAGGTCATTCACTTAAACAAACTTTTTAGCCCTTCATCCTAGCATGCTACGGGCCAAATATCATCACCCTGGTCATTTTGGTTATTCAGTAGAAGTGGTTTGAAGATTTTACGACATTTGACCCCTGTGACCTCGAGTATGGGTGAAGGTCATTAATTTGAACAAACTTGGTAGCCCTTCATCTCAATTTGCTTCTGGCCAAATATCGCAACCCTAGGCCTTTCGGTTATTAAGAAGAAGTCGTTTAAAGTAAAATATGGACGCCGGACGACGGACAGACGGACGCACGGACGACGGACGCCGCGCCAGGGCATAAGCTCACTTGGCACTTCGTGCCAGGTGAGCTAAAAAATGCCGGTATTATTTATTATTGATGCTTACATCAGGAAAACTCAAAGCTCTTAAAAATGTAGATATAAGGAATAAAATTAATTTTTCAACAATATTTGCTTTCTAGACATATTTACCAAGAATAACACGATTTTTGTTAATTATGTCCAGAAAGCCAATGTTGTTATGACCGCATGCATGTTGAAAATAAGAATTTCATTTCTTAAATGACATTTGACAAGATCCTCAGTGACCTGTTCACTCTACTTCAGTAATCTTGTTTGGGGTTTAACGTCCTCGCGACACTTGAAGTCCCTAGGAGACACCGCCAAAAGAAAAATGAGAAAAGAAACAGGGAGGGGTGGATCCAAAGAATTGCAATAGGTGCAGCAGACTAAAAAGCAGACTAATTTTGGTTTCTTCAGTGACCCTGAATAGAAGTCGTCATCGAAGTAAACCCCCGATCCTGTATGGGTCATCATTAGTCGCCTGGTAGGTCATGTATTGGGATACAGCAGACCTATTCCTTGCCCACACTTGCACAGGGTCTTCCACGTGATGATGCCTTCCTGTTGTCATACGTTTAACGCAGTGTAGAGTGATGACATATGAGGACAACATCCTATTGTGACATAGCCACGGTACATAAAATGATGACATTGATCTTACTGATTCGGCAGTGTTGGTTGCCGGTGACATGGATGCACAACAAGTTGATTGTGTCCCATAACATTATCGAAATTCAATTGCTCTCGACCTACATGTTAGTATCTTCTCATGCTTGGGATATGTCATGACAAAATCAAAGTCATACGGTTAGCTATTTGATTAGTTACAGGTATAAAAACCTGACGAATTACTAGACTGATGCATGTCCTTTGAAGAAACCGACTTCAAAACCGGTCCATTTTAACTATGTGGTGATTATTTTGATGCGCATAAAAATCAAACTAGTCTACTTGTATCATAATAATAATAATAAACAGCATTTGATAAAGTGCCCTGTCTAGCTAACATAAGCCACTCTAAAGCGCTTTACAGTACATAGCTATACAATTAGCATATACATTAATCAATACAATTTTGAGGATTTCACAGGAGCTGCCTTATCAGGCGCTAGCAACTAGTCCTATGCCACGTGGCTAATATCTCCCTATGTATGTATGCCTGCGTGTAAGCTGGAGATGTATTGTGTTCTGTTTGTAGTGGGACCGTGCTTCCAACGGCATCTTTTATAGCACCACCTCACCATTTTATACTCCACCTGGGTTGTTGGATTTGTGTGGGCAGGAGAAAAACACTTTCTCTGAATATTCATGCGTACGACGACTTCGGGGATCGAACCCCGGCTGCCTGCGTGGAAGCAATCACCACGACACGCGAGAAATATTATTGCTATGTTTCAATGGACGAAAATACGACCGTATTGAGACAGGGCTACATGACGTTTTATGACGAGGCTAATGAGACATGGCCACGGTGCATAAAGAGATGACGTTTAATGAATATATATTGTTTCTGATATGCACGTGTAAAGCGATGACACGTGCATATCCACCTATATGTGGAATGGCTAAACTGCATTAATAAATACGTCTGAGGAATTGGTCATATCGTGGAATTGGTATGACTTCGCTGCGTTAAGTTTTAGTGTTTGATGACACGATCCTATTCTGATTGATGACAATTTTTGTTGAGAGGGCTCGTAGATGGCTGTATCTTCCTACTTAGGGAAAGACAGAACAAACTTCTCTCCGCGTAAAATGAGTAATACCTTTTGGTGTGCAAGGAAGCATGCTTTTCGGATAAATACGAACTACAGAACGAAATGACTTAAACAAAGTAGTAAGCATTGCTTTATTCACATCATACAAACAGAACATGGCAACGTTTTTCCGTCCTCATACGGGGGACAAGGCAAGGATCCACATTTGGACAATACGGCAAAGAACACTCTACCGTCATCATTCGTGTTCCCACCCCCTAATACCGCCTGTGGGTGCTCGTCTACACACAGGTACTCGGAGGCTGCTCCTAACCTTGGATTTCCCGCGGTCAGGAGACCATGGAAAGCCTCTGTCCATCCCGGGTAGCACGTGGCTCGGCCGGGAACCATGGTGATGACAGAATGGACCGTGTTCCTGCACACTGCGCATGACACGTCTTCGTTCAAGTTTGGCATACCAAACATGCCTGGATCTTCATATTCCGCGCCATAGACAAATGCTGGGTCACGTGCAGCTTTGTCTTTACTGGACCCCCACACTGGTTCTCGAGGCATGCACAGGGTGTTGGCTGCACCGCCGGGGGATGTATAGAAAGAACCGCCTGCAAACCCTGTCAAAATGTTCCGTACCGTCAGGAAAATATCCCCAAAGGCGTGATTGACAAAAATCTATTTTGAATGTAGCCTCGTCTACTCCGGAAACAATGCAAATACATCGGGGGGAAAAGGTTATAATACACTGCTTACACCGCTTGCAAAGTGAAGACCTATTAGAAGGCGGGGGTTAACAAGTTACAGATGTATTGGGGGAAGTGTTCATGCACATAGCTTAACAAGGAACAGACCAATTGGGAAAAGGTTCATGCTCAACGCTAAACAAGGTACAGGCTATTTCTGGACCGTTTCCTGCTCATCGCTAAACAAGATACAGACCTTTTGGGGGTAAAGGTTCATGCACATCGCTAAACAAGGTACATACCTATTGGGGGGAAAGGTTCATGCACATCGCTAAACAAGGTACATACCTATTGGGGGGAACGGTTCATGCACATCGCTCAACAAGGTACATACCTATTTGGGGGATAAGGTTCATGCCCATCGCTAAACAAGATACATAACTATTGGGGGAAAAGGTTCATGCGCATCGCTAAACAAAATACAGACCATTTGGGGAAAAGGTTCATGCACATCGCTAAACAAGATAAAGACCATTTGGGGAAAAGGTTCATGCAAATCGCTAAACAAGGAACATACTTATTGGGGAAAAGATTAATGTACATCGCTAAACAAGATACAGACCATTTGGGGAAAAGGTTCATGCACATCGCTAAACAAGATACAGACCATTTGGGGAAAAGGTTCATGCGCATCGCTAAACAAAATACAGACCATTTGTGGAAAAGGTTCATGCACATTACTAAACAAGGTACATACCTATTGGGGGGAACGGTTCATGCACATCGCTAAACAAGATAAAGACCATTTGGGCAAAAGGTTCATGCAAATCGCTAAACAAGGAACATACTTATTGGGGAAAAGATTAATGTACATCGCTCAACAAGATACAGATCATTTGGGGAAAAGGTTCATGTACATCGCTCAACAAGGTACATACCTATTGGGGGAACGGTTCATGCACATCGCTAAACAAGGTACATCCCTATTGGGGGAACGGTTCATGCACATCGCTAAACAATGCACAAAACTTTTGGGGGAAAAGGTTCATGCACATCGCTAAACAAGACAAAGACCATCTGGGGAAAAGGTTCATGCAAATCGCTAAACAAGGAACATACTTATTGGGGAAAAGGTTCATGTACATCGCTCAACAAGATACAGACCATTTGGGGAAAAGGTTCATGCACATCGCTAAACAAGATACATACCTATTGGGGGGAAAGGTTCATGCACATCGCTAAACAAGATACAGACATATTGGGGGGAAAGGTTCATGCACATCGCTAAACAAGGAACATACTTATTGGGGAAAAGGTTCATGCGCATCGCTAAACAAGATACATACCTATTGGGGAAAAGGTTCATGCGCATCGCTAAACAAGGTACATACCTATTGGGGGAACGGTTCATGCACATCGCTAAACAAGGAACATACTTATTGGGGTAAAGGTTCATGTACATCGCTAAACAAGGTACATACCTATTGGGGGAAAAGGTTCATGCGCATCGCTAAACAAGATACAGACCATTTGGGGAAAAGGTTCATGCACATTACTAAACAAGGTACATACCTATTGGGGAAAAGGTTTATACACATCGCTAAACAAGGTACATACCTATTGGGGGGAAAGGTTCATGCACATCGCTAAACAAGGAACATACTTATTGGGAAAAAGGTTTATGCTCATCGCTGAACAAGATTCATACTTATTGGGGGAAATGGTTCAAGTTCATCGCCAAACAAGGTACAGACCTATTTGGGGAAAGGTTCTAATACATTGCTAAACAAGGTACATACCCATCGGGAGGAAAGGTTTATGGTTATCCCTGAACAAGATAATACTTATTGGGGGAAATGGTTCATGTTCATCGCTAAACAAGATACAGACCTATTGGGGGGAAAGGTTTCTTGCACATCGCTTAACAAGATACATATTTATTGGGGAAAAGGTTTATGCTCATCGCTGAACAAGTAAGATACATACTTATTGGGGGAAATGGTTCATGTTCATCGCCAAACAAAGTTCAGACCTATTTGGGGAAAGGTTCTAAAACACCGCTAAACAAGGTACATACCTATGGGGGAAAAGGTTTATGCTCATCGCTGAACAAGGTACATCCTTATTGGGGGAAATGGTTCAAGTTCATCGCTAAACAAGGTACATACCTATTGGGGAAAAGGTTTATGCTCATCGCTGAACAAGGTACATACTTATTGGGGGAAATGGTTCAAGTTCATCGCTAAACAAGGTACATACCTATTTTGGGAAAGGTTCTAAAACATCGCTAAACAAGGTACATACCTATTGGGGAAAAGGTTTATGCTCATCGCTGAACAAGATACATACTTATTGGGGGAAATGGTTCAAGTTCATCGCTAAACAAGGTACATACCCACTGGGCACAAAAGGTGCATTGTTCATCGCAGACATGGTAGAGTTCATCATAAAACAAGGTAGATTATGGAAGCAATGATACAGACATATACTGACAATATCGCATGCTTTTGGCCTTTTCTGTGATACTGAACTGAAGGGTTTTAATTATTAATTTTTAATTAACTTCTCACTCTCGACTGTTCTGTTTTTACCAGAGTAAACGAGCTGTGTGTCATTGCCTGCAGGACAGTCCTTCCTTCCCCATCTGGTGTACACCACGCCTTTACACCCTGTAGCACGCAAGCAGACAGAAAGTTTACATAATAAAGTGAGTGAAGACAATTCCGGAACTAAATGAAATTAACTGTCTTTTTAACAACCTGCACGTGCTTTCTCTAAATAATTGTGTGTTTTTGTTCATGTAAGTATCCACAAATCATTATACATGCACATATACCCTATATAAGTGCTTAATGCTCAACATCCAATTTACTAGGTATTTGTACCAACACCGAAATAACTAGGTACATTTTAGGAATAGTGACCGTAAACGGAGTTATGTGCAATTTTGGAAAATGCATAAATCGATTTTGGAATATACAGAAATAATTAAACACCTTGTAAGATCTGATTGTGAGCCATTGGTAGTTTTAGAGAGAGACAGACAGACAGAGAGATGTTGCTCGGTGAACGTTTTTGAAAGCACAGCAGTGGAACATTTGACATTAATAACTCATGAATGTTATGTTGTATTCTTAACTCTGAACGGATTTTAGATTTGAACTTTATAAGAATTAATTTTGAATCGTTCAAGAAGTATTGATAATGCAATGTTATTGTTCATTCTCGATACAAATTATGTTGTTCTGTGTCTATGATATATACTACGATGAAGAACTGTCAAGTTTAAACCAATGAAGTATACTTGGAATAAAAGTGGAATTGTGTAAGAGTCGGATACCAAATGCACTTTGTTCCTGTTGGGTTACACAATGTACTTACTTTCCTGTGCCATTTTCATGATAACGGATTGTTGATTGGTGACGGTCTGTTGTAGGGTGGAAATCGTCTGCTGTTGACTGGACATTGCCTGCTGTTGACTGGACATTGCCTGCTGTTGACTGGACATTGCCTGCTGTTGATCGCTTATGTTTTGTTGCTGATTAGTGACGGTCTGTTGGAGGGTAGATACGGTCTGTTGGAGGGTAGATACGGTCTGTTGGAAAGTGGACACGGTCTGTTCTTGGTTTCCAGCCTTGACTCGTAGCTCCTGTAGCTCCGACTGGAGATGGGTGAGTTGCTGGGACACATACGCGGGGTCATTCAGCAAAATACGTTTTTCGGAGGCGAGAGTTAAGACGAAAAGGCACACAATTCCAGCAATGACTGTTTGGCCCGCCATAATGTCAGTAGCGGTATGAGAGTAAACACCACGCTACGATCTGTTATCAACGAAGGAAAAAAGCAGGTGCTGTTCTCTTATCAATTAGCCCTAAACAAGGCTACTGACATCGCTTTTGGAGTATACAGAAATAATAAAACACCATACATGATCTGATCTTGATCCATCGTACGCCTCAAGTAGAAGCTTGATTAAATTCCGGTGGATACATATTGAGACAAGTCAATGGGTGATGACGTTTGATGGGGCAGTTCTATTATAAATGGTTACAATCTCGGTACACAATGTTCACACCTTGGAACTTGTTATTTATTGGGGGATTTAAAAAGTGAACTTTTGATTCACCTTACAATTGCTGGTGCAATTTACCAATTCATGACCATTTTATTACGGATCTTTCATGAACAGAATGGAGGTAAGACAACATCATAAATATGTCTCAACGTCTGTTATAGCCAAATGAACGTAATATAAGGCTGCGTGTAACGTTTAAAATGAAATAAAAATGAAATAAAGAAAAACACTTTATTTCTGAAATTAATGTAAATCTCGATCGATCGAAGGATCAACCACCGACCACGTGATCTTTATGTTGACCAAAATATGAATGATGTAAACCATATACCAACAGTAATGGCAATATAATTTATAAACTAGATATTTATTTTTTTGACCAAAAACATATGTCTCCTCTAGGAGTGGGACGACTTGTTCGCCCGTTGTCAGTATAATGTGACCGGGTGGGGTGTCCGGCTGTGTGTCTTCGGCAGTATGTTTCAGTGAGGTAGCACTATAAAGTCGGCATCGGGTCTGCGTTATCACAAGGACACAAACACGAACATATCGCAGCCTTCCAAAACACACACGCATACACTACACGCATGCATCTTGCAAACAGGGGAGGCCGTCCTTAAATGACCATAGCTGTTGATAGGACGTTAAACAATACTAAACCAAACAAAACCTTATTAGCAAATATTTCCCCCTTCCCTTGCAAAATAAAAATGCGCTAATAAAGTCAAGTACCCATGCATCTACAATTTTTCTAAAATACATAAAGGTTGCAATTTAAAAGTTATGACATGGAAGGTCACAAATCCCTAACAGTATAAAGTTTAAAACTTATATTTTAGCAGTACTTTGACCTTTGACCTTGAAGTCAAGGTCGAAGCGGCCTAATGATAGTTCTCTGCACATTGTCTTTGGATGATACAGGTAATCTGCAAGTGACATCAGGATACCTCGAACGATTTAAAAGTTACGCCCCGGACAAGAAATTAGAAAAAGAAACAGAAGAACAAGAAGAAGAACCAGTACTTACCCAATATCTCTCTCTACCCCATGCCGAATCGGTGGTGATTTCGTTCTTTTCTTCTATTCATGGGACATTAAAGAAATCGAGAATATACCTGCTGTATCCCACTGGATGCGTTTCGTAAAAGGCGACTAATGAGGGGGCCCCCTGCAGAATCGGGGTTTTTCTTCCTTGTCTTCTACGAAGAGAACATGGAAAAGACCAAACTTGATCTGCTGCCCCCATTGCAATAACTGAGTTCTTTTTCGTTTCCTGTCTTCTTTCTTTTTTTCTACTTTCTGTTTCAGGTGGTGTCACCCTAGGCACCCGTCTTTATGTAACCCTGGCTGCTGTGTCTCCCTAGGCACCCATCCTCATATGACCCTGGCTGTTGTGTCTCTCTAACTACACGTCCTCAAATGAACCTGGCTGTTGTGTCTCCCTAGGCACCCGTCCTCATATAACCCTGGCTGTTGTGTCTCCCTAGGCATCCGTCCTCATATGACCCTGGCTGTTGTGTCTCCTAGGAACCCATCCTCATATGACCCTGGCTGTTGTGTCTCTCTAGCTACACGTCCTCAAATGAACCGGGCTGTTGTGTCTCCCTAGGCTCCCGTCCTCATATAACCCTGGCTGTTGTGTCTTCCTAGGCACCCGTCCTCAAATGACCGTGTCTCCCTAGGCACCCGTCCTTATATGACTCTGGCTGTTTTGTCTCCCTAGGCACCCGTCCTCATATGACTCTGGTTGTTGTGTCTCCTTAGGCACCCGTCCTCATATGAGTTGCGTCTCCCTAGGCACCCGTTCTCATATGACCCTGGCTGTTGTGTCTCTCTAACTACACGTCCTCAAATGAACCTGGCTGTTGTGTCTCCCTAGGCACCCGTCCTCATATGACCGTGTCTCCCTAGGCACCCGTCCTCATATGCCCGTGTCTCCCTAGGCACCCGTCCTCATATGCCCGTGTCTCCCTAGGCACCCGTCCTCATATGGCCTTGGCTGTTGTGTCTCCCTAGGCACCCGTCCTCATATAACCCTGGCTGTTGTGTCTTCCTAGGCACCCGTCCTCAAATGACCGTGTCTCCCTAGGCACCCGTCCTCATATGACTCTGGTTGTTGTGTCTCTTTACGCACCCGTCCTCATATGACACTGGCTGTTGTGTCTCCCTATGCACCCGTCCTCATATAACCCTGGCTGTTGTGTCTCCCTAGGCACCCGTCCTCAAATGACCGTGTCTCCCTAGGCACCCGTCCTTATATGACTCTGGCTGTTTTGTCTCCCTAGGCACCCGTCCTCATATGACTCTGGTTGTTGTGTCTCTTTAGGCACCCGTCCTCATATGACACTGGCTGTTGTGTCTCCCTAAGCAACCGTCCTCATATGACCCTCGCTTGTGTGTCACACTAAACAACCGTGCTCATATGTCCCTGGCTGTTGTGTCTCCCTAAGCAACCGTCCTCATATGACCCTCGCTTGTGTGTCACACTAAACAACCGTGCTCATATGTCCCTGGCTGTTGTGTCTCCCTAAGCAACCGTCCTCATATAACCCTGTCTGTTGTGTCTCCCTAGGACCCCATCCTCATATGACCCTGGCTGTTGTGTCTCCCTAAGCAACCGTCCTCATATAACCCTGTCTGTTGTGTCTCCCTAGGACCCCATCCTCATATGACCCTGGCTGTTGTGTCTCCCTAGGCACCCGTCCTCATATGACCGTGTCTCCCTAGCCACCCGTCCTCAAAAGGCTGTTGTGTCTCCCTAGGCACCCGTCCTCATATGACCCTGGCTGTTGTGTCTCCCTAGGCATCCGTCCTAATATGCCCCTGGCTGTTGTGTCTCCCTAGGCATCCGTCCTCATATGACCATGGCTGTTGTGTCTCCCTAGGCATCCGTCCTAATATGCCCCTGGCTGTTGTGTCTCCCTAGGCATCCGTCCTCATATGACACTGGCTGTTGTGTCTCTCTAACCACACGTCCTCATATGACCCTGGCTGTTGTGTCTCCCTAGGCACCCGTCCTAATATGCCCCTGGCTGTTGTGTGGCTGTTGTGTCTCTCTACCCACACGTCCTCATATGACCATGGCTGTTGTGTCTCCGTAGGCATCCGTCCTAATATGACCCTGGCTGATGTGTCTCTCTAGGCATCCGTCCTAATATGACCCTGGCTGTTGTGTCTCTCTACCCACACGTCCTCATATGACCTTGGCTGTTGTGTCTCCCTAGGCACCCGTCCTCATATGGCCTTGGCTGTTATGTCTCCCTAGGCACCCGTCCTCATATGGCCTTGGCTGTTGTGTCTCCCTAAGCAACCGTCATCATATGACCCTGGCTGTTGTGTGGCTGTTGTGTCTCCCTAGGCATCCGTCCTTATACGTCCCTGGCTGTTGAGTCTCCCTAGGCATACGTCCTCTCATGACCCTGGCTGTTGTGTATCTCTAACCACACGTCCTCATATGACCCTGGCTGATGTGTCTCCCTAAGCAACCGTCCTCATATGGCCCGGGCTGTTGTGTCTCCCTAAGCAACCGTCCTCATATGACCCTGGCTGTTGTGTCTCCCTAGGCATCCGTCCTTATATGTCCCTGGCTGTTGAGTCTCCCTAGGCATCCGTCCTCTCATGACCCTGGCTGTTGTGTCTCTCTAACCACACGTCCTCATATGACCCTGGCTGTTGTGTCTCCTTAGGCACCCGTCCTCATATGACACTGGCTGTTATGTCTCCCGTCCTCATATGGCCTTGGCTGTTGTGTCTCCCTAAGCAACCGTCCTCATATGACCCTGGCTAGTATGTCTCCCTAAGCACCCGTCCTCATATGGCCTTGGCTGTTGTGTCTCCATAGGCACCCGTCCTCATACATGTATGACCCTGGCTGTTGCGAGGACGTTAAAACTCAAACAAACAAACAAACAAACACATTATTCAAAAGAGAAATAAATAGTGATGAGCAATATTTATTTTAGATCATACACACAACACAGGACAAAACCTTGTTATCTTCGTATGGTGGACATGGAAGGGATCCACACTTCGACCAGACAGCGAACACAGATATCCCTATGTCGTTTCTGCTTCCTCCTCCGGCGGTCGCTTCAGGATGTTCGTCAGTACACTGGTACTGGGTTGCGGAAGGGTCAGGCGGATAACCAGCTGTAAGGATGCCGCGGTAGGCCTCGGTCCACCCCGGATAGCAAATGGTCCGCCCGGGTATCATCGTAATTATTGAGTATGCCGTGTTTCTACATACAGCGCAAGGCACGTCTTCGTCGTAGTTTGGCATTCCGAAGATAGTTGTGTCTTGATATTCCGCACCGAAGAGATAGGCTTTCCCATGAAGAGGCGTATTCTTGTGTGGACCCCAGATCGGATCCGACGGCATACAGAGGGCATTGGCGGCTCCTCCTTGGTCATGGTAGTTTGAACCACCAACGTATCCTAAAATTATAACAGAAATAAAGTAAGGTTTTAAATAATTTGAGCAAATTTGTAAATGTATATCCCTAGCTTTTAGGATAGTGTTATACAAGCTTTCCATTGATGACGCTTGGTATAGTCATACTTGCCAATATGCATGAGCATCTCAGATTTGTCATCGTTATCGACCAGAAACGAATTAATAATCAATGTTAGGTAGTTACATTAATTATGTATAAGAGTATCACGTAGGGAACCATTCTTAACCTAATAATGTCTTTACCAAACTGCTTGAAATCGAACCATACTTATGACGTGCCTCCATGTGTTATGTATGTGTGCATGTGTGTATGTGTGCCAGAGACAGGGTAAGGCAGTGTAATTAGGGTAATTATGGTAATCACGATGCCCGTCCGTCCGTCAGCACTTTCGACCAAACTTTCTTAAATTTCACCTGGTGATATACTGTGATGTGCAGATGTGCATTAGGGATTTTAATAATTCCTAGGGTCAAGGTCACTGTTTCTAAAAATAGAATTGGGGATATACTGTCAGAAGAACACAATATAAGGCTGTAAAAGAAGGCCAATTTTTCTGAAATTTCTCATGATGATACACTGTAATTATAATGCAGATGTCAAGGTCGCTGTTACCAAAAATAAGGCCCTTACAGAAGGCCAAATTTTACAATATGGTACATGTGAAATAGGCCTTTAAACAGGTTCGAAGCTCAACGTTGCCGTTACTTTAAAATAGATCAGGGCAAATAATGTCAAAATATTATTGTAAATGATCCTTTCTGAACAGTCAATGATCACTTTTGCTTGGTGCTTATTCGGGAGATACACTGTCAGACATACAGCGGGGCCCTTGCTGACCTGTCAGTATTCTAGTTCTGTAGCGGGTTCCAAAATAGGTCGCTTCTTAGGATACATGGAGTGGGGGAACAGCAGGTGTATACTGTTCTTGATCTCCGACCTGCAGGGGTGGCCTGGGGACAGAACACATTGCCTTCCTCACATGAGCGAACGCTCAACACTAAAGCAAAAATGAGGCATTGCCAAGCAATGCGCTATGAAACAAAAGGTAGTTAGAAGTAGAGAGAAATATGAAGATCCTAAATATTAAAATGAGTGCAGCAGATTTATTTTGGTCGCTTTTGTGTCCCCAAGTAGAGGGCACAAAAGCAATTCCCTAATGCTGCAAGGGGCTCCCACATTAGCTGCCTCTTACTATCATGCAGTGGATAACAGCTAGCAGGTGTATTCTTTTCTCGAGCCACGACCTGCAGGGGTGCGGGTTAACGAGGACTGTCACTAATATTGTCAGTTTGTTTACAAGAGACGTAAACGATAATGTAATTAAAAACGGTGCTCGGATTTATTTTCAAGCCAGACATCATTAGAATATTGCGCCAATGAATCCCGTTGATTCAGTAAAATTTTCCTCGTTTTAATTTAAAATATAATAAACTGAAAATTCAATGGTTTTCCGGTGAAAACCATATAAATATCACCGATATATTCACGTATTCTGCCATGCTCGTGAAATACATATGGTATGCAATTAGAAAAACATTAGACATCACCGATATCTTGAATGCATACATAAAAACACACAAACGTTTACCATAATAAACGAGTTGTGTGTCACTGTCCTTGGGACAACTCTTCCTTCCCCATCTGGTGTACACCACGCCTTTACCACCTAAACAAACACACAAAATCTTTGCATAAACATTGAGTTTGTTAATAAATATATAGTATATATACAACACACTACTTTTTGGGAAATGTGCATAAAATACGATATTAATCATTTACAGTGTACTCTATTCTACGCAGAGGTCAGAAATTAGATATTTCTGCACAGTATGCAGAAATCTTTAATGGAGTAAATTGATGTCAATTTAGGATAAATATTTAAAAGCCGATATTTGTGTACCTAAGACTGTCTGACTGTGATCCACATTGTGTAAGTGGAATTGTATGATAGAAAACATTGTACTTACTTTCCTGTGCTATGTTCGTAAGGACGGAATGCTGGTTTGAAACGGTTTGTTGAAGGGTAGAAATCGTCTGCTGTTGACTGCTTATGTTTTGTTGCTGATTGTTAACGGTCTGTTGGAGGGTAGATACGGTCTGTTGCAGAGTGGACACGGTCTGCTGTTGACTGCCTATGTTTTGTTGCTGATTAGTAACGTTCTGTTGAAGAGAAGACACGGTCTGCTCTTGGTTTCCAGCCTTAACTCGTAGCTCCTGTAGCTCCGACTGGAGATGGGTGAGTTGCTGGGACACATACGCCGGATCATTTAGCAAAATACGTTTTTCATCGGCGAGAGTTAAGACGAAAAGGCACACAATTCCTGCAATGACTGTCTGGCCCGCCATGATGTCAGTAGTAGTATGAGACGCGCAAACGCAACGCTTCGATCTGGTATCAGTGCAGGAAAACACAGGTGATGTTCTCTTATCAATTAGGCCTAGTGACATCTCAGTGTTGTGCATTATATATGCAAACATAAGCCAATAGTTATCATTTTATGAATATGGAAAGATAGATGGAGAACAAAAGGCCTCTATGACTTACAAGGGACTGGGTTATTATGCAATTACTATGTGTTGTTGTGATCAAACAAAACCTGGTACATAATTATGATCCAAACATAGGTTTTTGACTGTGGATTCGCTGACAATATGTTTGTTAGTAATTGTCAGAAAAATAATAAAACAATATAATGTAACTTTATAAAGTAATTCAATAATAAAATACTAACTCCCTCCTCATGATGGAATAGTAACCTTTTTGACAATAAAGTTAACGATTTCGATAAACACCTTTTACATCCATGAAAAATATAATAGCATATGAAATCGGAGTCTGCTGAAGGAGATTGTTTGGACCCGACCATGAGGCCCTAAGTGTAGGTCAGTGTCTTAATTGTCATGTCATCAAATTCCAATCACATGTTAATTATTACAACAAAGTTGGATTTATATGCTCCTGAAAGTAAACAAAATACAGTCAAACCTGTATTAAGAGGCCACCCAAGGGACCGGCAGAAATTGGCCGCTTAAGAAAGGAGGCTGCTAAAACCAGGCTCACCCGAAAATCACAACCAAGTTTTCATACATCCACGGGTTATAATGACATTTTTCCGGCAATATCGGCTGCTATGTTATTTTGAATTTTTCTCCCTTCATCCACAGGGGTACGATTTCATAAATCCATAATCAATAAAATACAAAGGCGTCTGAGGAACTGGTCATATCGTGGAATTGGTATGACTTCGCTGCGTTAAGTTTTAGTGTTTGATGACAGAGGGGCATGGCTCGCTTTACTTGTAATATCAAAAAATAGGGGTCTCCTCTACTAAGAGGAGATTATTTTTTTTTTAATATTACAAGTAAAGCGATTCATGCCCCTGTGTTTGATGACACGATCCTATTCTGATTGATGACGATTTTAGTTGAAGGGCTCGTAGGTAGCTGTATCTTCCTACTTAGGGAAAGACAGAACACAATTTTCTCCGCGTAAAATGAGTAATACCATTTAGTGTGCAAGGAAGCATGCTTTTCGGATAAATACGAACTACAGAACGAAATGACTTTAACGATGTAGCAAGCATTGGCAATTTGGTTTATTCACATCATACAAACAGAACATGACAACGTTTTTCCGTCCTCGTACGGGGGACAAGGCAAGGCTCCACATTTTGAATACACGGCATAGAACAGTCTACCGTTATCGTCCGTGTTCCCACCCCTAATACCGCCTGTGGGTGCTCGTCTACACACAGGTACTCGGAGGCTGCTGAATGCGTTGGACTTCCCGCGGTCAGGAGACCATGAAAAGCCTCTGTCCATCCCGGGTAGCACGTGGCTCGGCCGGGAACCATGGTGATGACAGAATGGACTGTGTTCTTGCACACTGCGCATGGCACGTCTTCGTTCAAGTTTGGCATACCAAACATGCCTGGATCTTCATATTCCGCGCCATAGACATATGTTTGGACACGTGCAGCTTTGTCTTTCCTGGGCCCCACACTGGTTCTGGAGGCATGCACAAGGTGTCGGCTGCACCGCCGGGGGAAGTATAGTGAGAAACGCCAGCAAACCCTGTCAAAATGATCCGTACCGTATGGAAAAAATATCACCCTTGAATGTAGCCGTGTCTTCTATTGAAACAATGTAAATACATCGTGGGAAAAGGTTATAACAAATCGCTAAACAAGGTAAAGACCTATGGCGGGGGGCGGGTATCCACATCACTCAATAAAGTACGAATTTATTGGGAGGAAAGGTTCATGCGTATCTTTTTAGTGAAAAAAGTTCATACACACCGCTAAACAAGCTACAGAACATTTGAGGGGGGTGGTGGAGGGAGATGCTTATCGCTAAACAAAATACGGTCATATGGGGGGAAGTTCATGCACATTACTTAACAAGGTACAGGCCATTTGGGAGAAAAGGTTCATGCACATCGCTAAACAAGACACATACCTATTGGGGGGAAAAGGTTCATGCACATCGCTAAACAATATACATACCTTTTGGGGAAAAGGTTAATGCACATCGCTAAATGAGATACATACCTAATGGGGAAAAGGTTCATGCACATCGCTAAACAATAAACATACCTATTGGGGGAAAAGGTTAATGCACATCGCTAAACAAGATACATACCTATTTGGGGGAAAAGTTTCATGCACATCGCTAAACAAGATGCATACATATTGGGGGAAAAGGTTTATGTACATAGTTAAATAAGATACAGATCATTTTTGCAAAGGTTCATGCTCATCGCTAAACAAGGTACAGACCTATTTGGGGGAAAAGGTTCATGCACATCGCTAAATGAGATACATACCTAATGGGGAAAAGGTTCATGCACATCGCTAAACAATAAACATACCTATTGGGGGAAAAGGTTAATGCACATCGCTAAACAATATAATACCTTTTGGGGAAAAGGTTCATGCACATCGCTAAAGGAGATACATACCTAATGGGGAAAAGGTTCATGCACATCGCTAAACAATAAACATACCTATTGGGGGAAAAGGTTAATGCACATCGCTAAACAAGATACATACCTATTTAGGGGAAAAGGTTCATGCACATCGCTAAACAAGATGCATACATATTGGGGAAAAGGTTTATGCACATCGTTAAATAAGATACAGATCATTTTTGCAAAGGTTCATGCTCATCGCTAAACAAGGTATAGACCTATTTGGGGGGAAAAGGTTCATGCACATCGCTAAACAAGATACATACATATTGGGGGAAAAGGTTTATGCACATCGCTAAATAAGAAACAGATCATTTTGGGAAAGGTTCATGCTCATCGCTAAACAAGATGTTCATCGCTAAGCGAGATACCGATCTATTGGGGAAATATGTTTCTTGCACATCGCTAAACAAGGTACAGACTTATTTGGGAAAATGTTCTTATACATCGCTAAACAAGATACATACCTATTGGGGGGATAAGGTTCATGTCTATAGCTAAACAAGATATAGATCATTTTTGGAAAGGTTCATGCTCATCGCTAAATAAGGTACAGACTTATTTGGGAAAATGTTCTAATACATCGCTAAACAAGGTACAGACCTATTAGGCGGAAAGTAAAGAACATTTGGGAAAAGATTTATGCGCAACGCTAAGCAAGGTACATACCTATTGGGCGGGAAAAGTTCATGCACATCGCTAAAGAAGGTACAGACCTATTTTTTTGGAGGGGGGGGGGTAAAGGTGGGGTAAAGGTGGGGTAAAGGTGGGGTAAAGGTTCATGCACATCGCTAAACAAGGTTCAGATCATTTTGGTAAAGGTTCATGCTCATCGCTAAACAAGGTACAGACCATTTTGGGAAAAGGTTGATGCACATCGCTTAACAAGAAACATACCTATTGGAAGGAAAAGGTTTATGCACATCGCTAAACAAGGTACATATGTATTGTGCGTGAAAGGTTCATGCACATCGTTAAACAAAGTACATACCTATTGGAGGGGGGGGGGGAAGGTTCATGCACATCGCTTAACAAGATACATACCTATTGGGGGGATAAGGTTCATGCATATCGCTAAACAAGGTACATACCTATTAGGGGGATAAGGTTCATGCACATCGCTAAACTAGATACAGTTCATTTTTGGAAAGGTTCATGCTCATCGCTAAACAAGGTACAGACCATTTTGGGAAAGGTTCATGCTCATCGCTAAACAAGATGTTCATCGCTAAGCGAGATAGCGACCTATTGGGGAAATGGGTTTCTTGCACATCCCTAAACAAGGTACAGACTTATTTGGGAAAACGTTTTAATTCGTCGCTAAACAAGGTACAGACCTATTAGGCGGAAAGTAAAGAACATTTTTGAAAGGTTCATGCACATCGCTAAACAAGGTACAGATGATTTTCGGAAAAGATTCATGCACATCGCTAAACAAGATATATACCTATAGGAGGGGGGGGGGCTAAAGGTTCATACACATCACTAAACAAGGTACAGATCATTTTTGGAAAGGTTCATGCTCATCGCTAAACAAGGTACAGATCATTTATGGAAAGATTCATGTTCATCGCTAAACAAGATGTTCGTCGCTAAGCAAGATTCCGACCTATTGGGGAAATAGGTTTCTTGCACATCACTAAACAAGGTACAGACTATTTGGGAAAATGTTCTAATACATCGCTAAACAAGGTACAGACCTATTGGGTGGAAAGTAAACAACATTTGGGAAAAGGTTTATGCGCATCACTAAGCAAGGTACATACCATTTTGGGAAAGGTTCATGCTCATCGCTAAACAAGATGTTCATCGCTAAGCGAGATACCGACCTATTGGGGAAATAGGTTTCTTGCACATCGCTAAACAAGGTACAGACTTATTTGGGAAAACGTTCTAATACATCGCTAAACAAGGTACAGACCTATTAGGCGGAAAGTAAAGAACATTTGGGGAAAAGGTTTATGCGCATCGCTTAGCAAGGTACATACCTATTGGGCGGGAAAAGTTCATGAGCATCGCTTAACAAGGTGCAGATCATTTTGAAAAGGTTCATGCTCTTCGAAAAAAAAGGTACAGATGATTTTGTGAAAAGGTTCATGCACATCGCGAAACAAGGTACATAACTATTGGGGGAGGGGGGGGGGCAGGTTCATGCTCATCGCTAAACAAGATACATACATATTGGGGGGGAAAAGGTTCATGCATATCGCTAAACAAGATACATACTTATTGTGGGAAAAGGTTCATGCACATCGCTAAACAAGGTGCATACATATTGGGGGGAAAAGGTTCATGCATATCGCTAAACAAGGAACAGACCATTTTGGGAAAAGGTTTATACACATCGCTAAACAAGATACATACATATTGGGGGGAAAAGGTTCATGCATATCGCTAAACAAGATACATACTTATTGTGGGAAAAGGTTCTTGCACATCGCTAAACAAGGTACAGACCTATTGGCGGGAAAAAATCATGCACATCGCTAAGCAAGGTACAGACTTATTTGGGAAAATGTTCTAATACATCGCTAAACAGAGTACAGACCTATTGGGTGGAAAGTAAAGAACATTTGGGGAAAGGGTTTATGCGCATCACTAAGCAAGGTACATACGTATTGGTCGAGAAAATCTTCATGTACATCGCAGACATGGTAGAGCTCATCAGAAAACAAGGTAAATAATGGAAGCAAAGTACAAGAAATTTATTGATTCTGTATATACGGACATATACAGACAATATCGCATAATCTGGGGATTTGCTGTGATATTGAACTGAAGGGTTTTAATTATTAATTTTTAATTAACTTCTCACTCGACTGTTCTGTTTTTACCAGAGTAAACGAGCTGTGTGTCAAGGCAGTCCTTCCTTCCCCATCTGGTTTACACCACGCCTTTACCACCTGTAGCACGCAAACAGACAGAAAGTTTACATAAAAATTGAGGGAAGGCAATTCCGGATCTAAATCATGTTAACTGTCTTTTTAACAACCTGCACGTGCTTTCTCTAAATAATTGTGTGTTTTTGTTCATGTAAGTATCCACAAATCATTATATATGCACATATACGCTATATTGGAATATACAGAAATAATTAAACACCTTGTAAGATCTGATTGTGAGCCATTGTTAGTTTTAGAGAGAGAGACAGACAGACAGAGAGATGTTGATCGGTGAACGTTTTTAAAAGCACAGCAGTGGAACATTTGACATTAATAACTCATGAATGTTATGTTGTATTCTTAACTCTGAACGGAAATTTAGATTTGAACTTTATAAGAATTCATTTTGAATCGTTCAAGAAGTATTGATAATGCAATGTTATTGTTCATTCACGATACAAATTATGTTGTCCTGTGTCTATGATATATACTACGATGAAGAACTGTCAAGTTTAAACCAATGAAGTATAATTGGAATAAAAGTGGAATTGTGTAAGAGTCGGATACCAAATGCACTTGGTTCCTGTTGGGTTACACAATGTATTTACATTCCTGTGCCATTTTCATGATAACGGACTGTTGATTGGTGACGGTCTGTTGTAGGGTGGACATTGCCTGCTGTTGACTGGACATTGCCTGCTGTTGATCGCTTAATTTTGTTGCTGATTAGTAACGGTTTGTTGGAGGGTAGATACGGTCTGTTGAAGAGTGGTCACGGTCTGCTCTTGGTTTCCAGCCTTGACTCGTAGCTCCTGTAGCTCCGACTGTAGATGGTCGAGTTGCTGGGACACATACGCGGGGTCATTCAGCAAAATACGTTTTTCGGCGGCGAGAGTTAAGACGAAAAGGCACACAATTCCTGCAATGACTGTCCGGCCCGCCATAATATCAGTAGCTGTATGAGAGTAAACGCCACGCTACGATCTGTTATCAACGAAGGAAAAAAGCAGGTGCTGTTCTCTTACCAATTAGCCCTAAACAAGGCTACTTACATCGCTTTTGGAGTATACAGAAATAATAAAACACCATACATGATCTGATCTTGATCCATCGTACGCCTCAAGTAGAAGCTTGATTAAATTCCGGTGGATACATATTGAGACAAGTCAATGGGTGATGACGTTTGATGGGGCAGTTCTATTATAAATGGTTACAATCTCGGTACACAATGTTCACACCTTGGAACTTGTTATTTATTGGGGGATTTAAAAAGTGAACTTTAGATTCACCTTACAATTACTTGTGCCATTTACCAACTAATGACCATTTACGGATCTTTCATGAACAGAATGGAGGTAAGACAACATCATAAATATGTCTCACCGTCTGTTATAGCCAAATGATCGTAATACAAGGATGCGTGTAACGTTTAAAATGAAATAATAAATATTTCTGAAATTAATGTAAATCACTATCGATCGAAGGATCAACCATCGACCACGTGATCTTTATGTTGACCAAAATATGAATGATGTAAACCATATTAGATATTTGTTTTTTTGACCAAAAACATATGTCTCCTCTAGGAGTGGGACGACTTGTTCGCCCGTTGTCAGTATAACGTGACCGGGTGGGGTGTCCGGCTGTGTGTCTTCGGCAGTATGTTTCAGTGAGGTAGCACTATAAAGTCGGCATTAGTTCCGCGCTATCACAAGGAGACAAACACGAACATATCTCAGACTCCCAAAACATACACGCATACACTACTCGCATGCATCTTGCACACGGGGGTGGCCGTCCTTAAATGACCATAGCTGTTGATAGGACATTAAACAATACTAAACCAAACCAAACCATATTAGCAAATATTATTTCCCTTCCCTTGCAAAATAAAAATGCGCTTATTAAGTCAAGTAACCATGCATATACAATTTTTCTAAAATACATAAAGGGTGCAATTTAAAAGTTATGACATGGAAGGTGACAAAACCCTAACAGTTTAAAACTTATATTTTAGCAGTACTTTGACCTTTGACCTTGAAGTCAAGGTCGAAGCGGCCTAATGATAGTTCTCTGCACATTGTCTTTGGATGATACAGGTTATCTGCAAGTTTCATCAGGATACCTCGAACGATTTAAAAGTTACGCCCCGGACAAGAAATTATAAAAAGAAACAGAACAAGAAGAAGATCCAGTACTAACACAGTATGTCTCTCTTCATTCCTCATGCCGAATCGGTGGTGATTCCTTCCTTGTCTTCTATTCAGGAGACATAACAGAAATCAAGAATATACCTGCTGTATCCCACTGGATGCGTTTCGTAAAAGGCGACTAATGTTGGGGGAAGGGCCCTGCAGAATCGTTTCCTGTCTTCTTTCTTTTCTGTCTACTTTCTGTTCCAGGGGGTGTCTCCCTAGGCACCCGTCCTCATATGACCCTAGCTGTTGTGGCTCCCTAAGCACCCGACCTTATATGACACTGGCTGTTGTGTCTCCCTAGGTACCCGTCCTCATATGACCCTGGCGGCTGTGTCTCCCTAGGTACCCGTCCTCATATGACCCTGGCTGTTGTGTCTCCCTAGGCACCCGTCCTTATATGACCCTGGCTGTTGTGTCTCCCTTGGCACCCATCCTCATATGACCCTGCCTGTTGTGTTTTCCTAGGTACCCGTCCTCATATAACCCTGGCTGTTGTGTCTCCCTAGGCACCAATCCTCATATGACCCTGGCTGTTGTGTCTCCCTAGACACCCGTCCTCATATGACCCTGGCTGTTGTGTCTCCCTAGGCACCCGTCCTCATATGACCTTGGCTGTTGCTAGGACGTTAAAACTCAAATAAACAAACAAACACATTATTTGAAAGAGAGAAATAAATAGTGATGAGCAATATTTATTTTAGATCATACACACAACACAGGACAAAGCCTTGTTATCTTCGTATGGTGGACATGCAAGGGATCCACACTTCGACCAGACAGCGAACACTGATATCCCTGGGTCGTTTCTGCTTCCTCCTCCTGCGGTCGCTTCAGGGTGTTCGTCCGTACACTGGTACTGGGTTGCGGAAGGGTCAGCCGGATAACCAGCTGTAAGGATGCCGCGGTAGGCCTCGGTCCATCCCGGATAGCAAATGTTCCGCCCGGGTATCATCGTGATTATTGAGTATGCCGTGTTTCTACATACAGCGCAAGGCACGTCTTCGTCGAGGTTTGGCATTCCGAAAATAGTTGTGTCTGCATATTCCGCACCGAAGAGATAGGCTTGCGTCCGAAGATGCGTATTCTTGTATGGACCCCAGATCGGATCCGACGGCATACAGAGGGCATTGGCGGCTCCTCCTTGGTCATGGTAGTTTGAACCACCAACGTATCCTAAAATTATAACAGAAATAAAGTAAGGTTTAAAACAATTTGAGCAAATTTGTAAATGTTTATCCCTAGCTTTTAGGATATTGTTATACTAGCTTTCCATTGATTACGCTTGGTGTAGTCATATTTAGCTTTCAAACTTGCTAATATGCATGAGCATCTCATATTTGTCATCGTTATTGACCAGAAACGAATTAATAAATCAAAGTTAGGTGGTTACATTAATTATGTATAAAAGTATCACATAGGGAACATTTTAATGTGTACCCCGCAAAATGCGGGTGCCCTATAGTAATCACGGTGTCCGTCCGGCCGTCTGTCCGTCAGCACTTTCGTTTCCGGAGATTTTCACATGATTCAGATGGCTAAAATTTCTTAAATTTCATACGGTGATACACTGTGATGTGCAGAAGTGCAATGGGGGTTTAAAAAGTTCCTAGGAACAAGGTCACTGTTACTTAAAATAGAATTGGGAATATGCAGTCATAAAGACATCAGAAAAGGGGCCTTACAGAAGGCCAAACTTTCTGAAATTTCTCATGATGATACACTGTAATTATATGCAGATGTGCAATAGTTGTTTAAAAATAGATCAGGGCAAATACTGTCAAAATGTTATTGTAAATGATCCTTTCTGAACAGTCAATGATCATTTTTGCTTTTGCTTGGTGCTTATTCGGGAGATACACTGTCAGGCATACAGCGGGGCCCTTGCTGACCTGTCAGTATTCTAGTTCTCCAAAATAGGGCGCTTCTTAGGATACATGCAGTGGGAGAACAGCAGGTGTATACTGTTCTTGATCTCCGACCTGCAGCGGTGGCCTGGGGACAGAACCCATTGCCTTCCTCGCCTGAGCGAACGCTCAACACTAAAGCCAAAAATGAGGCATTGCCAAGCAATGCGCTATGAAACAAAAGGTAGTAAGAAGTAGAGAGAAATATGAACATCCAAAATATTGCAATGGGTGCAGCAGATTTATTTTGGTCGCATTTGTGTCCCCGAGTAGAGGGCACAAAAGCAATTCCCCAATGCTGCAGGGGGCTCCCACATAAACTGCCTTTTATTATCATGCAGTGGATAACAGCTAGCAGGTGTTTTCTTTTCTCGAGGCCCGACCTGCAGGGGTGCGGGTTAACGAGGACTGTCACTAAAATTGTCATTTGTTTACAAGAGACGTAAACGAAAATGTAATTAAAAACGGTGTTCAGATTTATTTTTAAGCCAGACGTCATTAGAATATTGCGCCAATGAATCCCGTTGATTCAGTAAATTTTTCCTCGTTTCAATTTAGAATATAATAAACAGAAAATTCAATGGTTTTCCGGTGAAAACCATATATATTTCACCGATATTTTCACGTATTCTGCCATGCTCGTGAAATACATATGGTATGCAATTAGAAAAACATTAGAAGTCACCTATATCTTGAATGCATACATAAAACCTCAAACGTTTACCATAATAAACGAGTTGTGTGTCACTGTTCTTGGGACAGCTCTTCCTTCCCCATCTGGTGTACACCACGCCTTTACCACCTGAACAAACACACAAAATATTTGCATAAACATTGAGTATACAACTCTCTACTTTTTGGGAAATGTGCACAAAATACGATATTAATCATTTACAGTGTACTCTATTCTACGCAGAGGTCAGAAATTAGATATTTCTGCACAGTATGCAGAAATCTTTAATGGAGTAAATTTATGTCAATTTAGAATAAATACTTAAAGCCGATATTTGTGTACCTTAGACTGTCTGACTGTGATCCACATTGTGTTAGTGGAATTGTATGATAGTCAGAGACATTGTACTTACTTTCCTGTGGTATGTTCGTAAGGACGGAATGCTGGTTTGAAACGGTTTGTTCAAGGGTAGAAATCGTCTGCTGTTGACTGCTTATGTTTTGTTGCTGATTGTTAACGGTCTGTTGGAGGGTAGATACGGTCAGTTGAAAAGTGGACACGGTCTGCTCTTGGTTCTCAGCCTTGACTCGTAGCTCCTGTAGCTCCGACTGGAGATGGGTGAGTTGCTGGGACACATACGCGGGGTCATTCAGCAAAATACGTTTTTCGGAGGCGAGAGTTAAGACGAAAAGGCACACAATTCCTGCAATGACTGTCTGGCCCGCCATGATGTCAGTAGCGGTATGAGACGCGCAAAAGCAACGCTACGGTATCAGTGCAGGAAAACACAGGTGGTGTTCTCTTATCAATTAGCTCTAAACAAGGCTACTGACATCCTAGTGCTGTACTTTATATATGCAAACATAAGCCAATAGTTATCATTTTATGAATATGAAAAGATAGATGGAGAACACTAGCCCCCTATGAATTATAAGGGACGCGATTGTAAAGCAATTACTATGTATTGTTGTGATAAAACAAAAACTGGTACATAATTATGATCCAAACATGGGATTTTGACTGTGAATTCGCTGACAAAATGTTTGTTAGTAATTGTCAGAAAAATAATAAAACAATATAATGTAACTTTATAAAGTAATTCAATAATAAAATACTAACTCCCTCCTCATGATGGAATAGTAACCTTTTTGACAATAAAGTTAACGATTTTGATAAACACCTTTTACATCCATGAAAAATATTATAGCATAGTCTGTTGAAGGAGATTGTTTGGACCCGACCATGAGGCCCTAAGTGTAAGTCAGGGTCTTAATTGTCATGCCATCAAACTGCAATCACATTTTAATTATTACAACAAAGTTGGATTTATATGCTCCTGAAAGTAAACAAAATGCAGTCAAACCTGTATTAAGAGGCCACCCAAGGGACCGGCAGAAATTGGCCGCTTAAGAAAGGTGGCTGCTAAAACCAGGTTCACCCGAAAATCACAACCAAGTTTTCATACATCCACGGGTTATAATGACATTTCCCCGGCAATATAGGCTGCTATGTTATTTTGAATTTTTCTCTCTTCATCAACAGGGGTACGATTTCATACTTGAATATAAATGCATAATCAATAAAATACAAAGGCGTCTGAGAAACTGGTCATATCGTGGAATTGGTATGACTTCGCTGCGTTAAGTTTTGGTGTTTGATGACACGATCCTATTCTGATTGATGACGATTTTAGTTGAAGGGCTCGTAGATAGCTGTATCTTCCTACTTAGGGAAAGACAGAACAAAGTTTTCTCCGCGTAAAATAAGCAATACCATTTAGTGTGCAAGGAAGCATGCTATTCGGAAGAAGACGAACTACAGAACGAATGACTTTAACAAAGTAGCAAGCATTGCTTTATTCACATCATACAAACAGAACATGACAACGTTTTTCCGTCTTCGTACGGGGGACAAGGCAAGGATCCACATTTTGAATATACGGCATAGAACAATTTTCCATTATCATTCGTGTTCCCACCCCCTAATACCGCCTGTGGGTGCTCGTCTACACACAGGTACTCGGAGGCTGCTGATTCCGCTGGATTTCCCGCTGTAAGGAGACCATGAAAAGCCTCTGTCCATCCCGGGTAGCACGTGGCTCGGCCGGGAACCATGGTGATGACAGAATGGACCGTGTTCCTGCACACTGTGCATGGCACGTCTTCGCTCAAGTTTGGCATACCAAACATGCCTGTATCTTCATATTCGGCGCCATATACATATGATTGGATATGTGCAGCTTTGTTTTTACTGGGCCCCCAAACTGGTTCTGGAGGCATGCACAAGGTGTCGGCTGCACCGCCGGGGGATGAATAGTAAGAACCGCCAGCAAACCCTGTCAAAATGTAGCCGTGTCTACTATGGAAACAATGTAAATACATCAGAGGAAAGGTTATAATACATCGCTAAACAAGGTAAAGACCTAGGGGGAGGGGGGGGGCTATGCACATCACTCAACAAAGTACGGATTTATTGGAAGGAAAGGTTCATGCGCATTGCTAAACAATGTACATATCTATTGGGGGAAACGGTTCATGCACATCATTTAGTGAAAAAGGTTCATACACACCGCCAAACAAGGTACATACCTATTGGGGGGAAAAGGTTCATGCACATCGCTAAACAAGATACATACCTATTGGGGAAAGGGTTCATGCACGTCGCTAAACAAGATACATACCTATTGGGGAAAAGGTTCATGCACATCGCTAAACAAGTTACATACCTATTGAGGGAAATGTTCATGCACATCGCTAAACAAGGTACATAGCTATTGGGGGAAAGGGTTTATGCATATCGCTAAACAAGATAATACCTATTGGGGGAGGGGAGGGGATGTTCATGTACATCGTTTAACAAGATGCATAGCTATTGGGGGAAAGGGTTTATGCATATCGATAAACAAGATAATACCTATTGGGGGAAAGGGTTTATGCACATCGCTAAACAAGATAATACTTATTGTGGGAAAAGGTTCATGCACATCGCTAAACAAGATAATACTTATTGTGGGAAAGGTTCATGCACATCGCTAAACAAGATAATACTTATTGTGGGAAAGGTTCATGCACATCGCTAAACAAGATACATACCTATTGGGGGAAAAGGTTCATGCACATCGCTAAACAAGATAATACTTATTGTGGGAAAAGGTTCATGCACATCGCTAAACAAGGTGCATACCTATTGGGCGGAAAAGGTTCATGCACATCGCTAAACAAGGTACAGATCATTTTTGGAAAGGTTCATGCTCATCGCTAAACAAGATGTTCATCGCTAAGCAAGATAACGACCTATTGGGGAAAAGGTTCATGCACATCGCTAAACAAGGCACAGACCTATTGTCAGGAAAGTGTCATGCATATCGCTACACAAGGTACAGAGGGATTTGGGGAAATGTTCTAATACATAGCTAAACAAGATACATACCTATTGAGGAAAAGGTTCATGCACATCGCTAAACAAGATACATACTTATTGGGAGAACGGGTTTATGTATATCGCTAAACAAGATACATACCTATTGGGGGAAAGGTTCATGCACATCGCTAAACAAGATAATACTTATTGGGGGAAAGGGTTTATGTATATCGCTTAACAAGATACATACCTATTGGGGAACAGGTTCATGTACATCGCTAAACAAGATACATACTTATTAGGGGAAAAGGTTTATGCACATCGCTAAACAAGGTACATACCTATTGGGGGAAAAGGTTCATGCACATCGCTTAACAAGATACATAGCTATTGGGGGAAAGGGTTTATGCATATCGCTAAACAAGATAATACTTATTGTGGGAAAAGGTTCATGCACATCGCTTAACAAGATACATAGCTATTGGGGGAAAGGGTTTATGCATATCGCTAAACAAGACAATACTTATTGTGGGAAAAGGTTCATGCGCATCGCTAAACAAGGTACATACCTATTGGGCGGAAAAGGTTCATGCACATCACTAAACAAGGTACAGATCATTTTTGGAAAGGTTCATGCACATCGCTAAACAAGGTACAGACCATTTTGGGAAAGGTTCATGCTCATCGCTAAACAAGATGTTCATCGCTAAGCAAGATACCGACATATTGGGGAAATAGGTTTCTTGCACATCGCTTAACAAGGTACAGACCTATTGGCAGGAAAGTGTCATGCACATCGCTACACAAGGTACAGAGATATTTGGGGAAATGTTCTAATACATCGATAAGCAAGGTACAGACATATTGGGCGGAAAAAGTTCATGTACATCGCACACATGGTAGAGCTCATCAGAAAACAAGGTAAATGATGGAAGCAAAATACAAGAAATGTGTTGATTCTGTATACATACGGACATATACAGACAATATCACATACTCTGGGGGTTTTCTGTGATACTGATTTAAGGGTTTTAATTATTATTTTTTAATTAACTTCTCATTCGACTGTTCTGTGTTTACCAGAGTAAACGAGCTGTGTGTCATTGCCTGCAGGGCAGTCCTTCCTTCCCCATCTGCTGTACACCACGCCTTTACCACCTGTAGCACGCAAGCAGACAGAAAGTTGTCATAATAAAGTTAGTGAAGACAATTCCGGAACTAATTGATATTAACTGTCTTTTTAACAACCTGCACGTGCTTTCTCTAAATAATTGTGTGTTTTTGTTCATGTAAGTATCCACAAATCATTATATTTGCACATATACAATTAATGCTCAACATCCAATTTACTAGGTATTTGTACCAACACCGAAATAACTAGGTACATTTTAGGAATAGTGTGCGTAAACGGAGTTATGTGCAATTTTTAGAAAATCCATAAATCGATTTTGGAGTATACAGAAATAATAAAACACCTTGTTAGATCTGATTGTGAGCCATTGTTAGTTTTAGAGAGCGACAGACAGACAGAGAGATGTTGCTCGGTGAACGTTTTTGAAAGCACAGCAGTGGAACATTTGACATTAATAACTCATGAATGTTATGTTGTACTCCTTACTCTTAACCGAAATTTAGATTTGAACTTTATGAGAATAGAATAGTCCATCATTTTTGAATCGTTCAAGAAGTATTGATAATGCAATGTTATTGTTCATTCTCGATACAAATTATGTTGTTCTGTGTCTATGATATATACTACGACGAAGAAATGTCAAGTTTAAACCAATGAAGTATACTTGGAATAAAAGTGGAATTGTGTAAGAGTCGGATACCAAATGCACTTTCTTCCTGTTGGGTTACACGATGTACTTACTTTCCTGTGCCATTTTCATGATAACAGATTGTTGATTGGTGACGGTCTGTTGGAGGTCAGATACGGTCTGTTGAAGAGTGGTCACGGTCTGCTCTTGGTTTCCAGCCTTGACTCGTAGCTCCTGTAGCTCCGACTGTAGATGGGTGAGTTGCTGGGACACATACGCGGGGTCATTTAGCAAAATACGTTTTTCGGAGGCGAGAGTTAAGACGAAAAGGCACACAATTCCAGCAATGACTGTCTGGCCCGCCATGATGTCAGTAACGGTATGAGAGTAAACGCCATGCTACGATCTGTTATCAACGAAGGAAAAAACAGCTGGTGTTATCTTATCAATTAGCCCTAAAAGGCTACAGACATCATAGTGCTGTACATTCTAAACTAAATTCGATTCAGCTTCTCTGATTTGACATTAACAAAATTCTTTTTAGAATCAAATAAAGCAATTAACTTGATATAACAGCTTTGATATTAGCTAGAATACCGGAATACTCTCAGTTCGAACACAGACATATGAATTCATCTTTGGGAGCGACAACTTTGCAGGTGCACGATTTCTGTACCGTAGATATTTCGGCGACCTTGGATCTGGACATAGCTAAAAGTTATAAATGTACATAACACACAAATATCTTTGATAACCAAACGATATTGCTCCCTCTAGGCTACTGTACGCATTTTGTGATCTCCAATTTAAACTTAACACGAGGCACAGAGGGCCTGTATCGCTCACCTGGATGTCTAAGCAATTATGGCAAAATATTCTCCAAATGAGATCCAAGGGAATATGTAGCATATTCTGTATTAGATTTTTTAGCCCAGCACTGTTATGTATGGTTATGGGGTGCGGATCTCAACTGTTTCCAAGCTGTGACTCAGAAACTAAGTCCCTAGGGTTGTGACCAGACCCTAGGATAAATTCTAATTTCATGACTGCATTCGTCTCTTTTGTTTTTCCCATCATTTGTACTGATAGGTGAGGATCTAAACCAGTTTGAAGTTATGACCCAGGGATTAAGTCTCCAAGAGTGGGACAGACCCGAAGGCCATCATGGAAGCATATGTGCATTCATCTCTTTATACTCAGCAATTGTATATAATATGGTTATAAGGTGGGGATCTCAACTGTTTCCAAGCTGTGACTATGAAACTAGGTCCGTCGGGGTCCAGTCAGACCCCAGGGTCTATTCTATTATCATGACTGCATTTGTCTCTTTATGCTGAGCATTTGTATACATAATTTTGGGTTGGGGATCTCAACCGTTTTAAAGTTATGACCCAGGGACTATGTCTCTAAGGGTGGGGCTAGACCCTCGGGCCATCCTGGAAGCAAATGTGCATTCTTCTCTTTAAACTCAGCAATTGTATATATGGTTATACAGTGGGGATCTTAACCAAGTAATACATTTTTTTTACCCCACTCCTTAGCCCAACCATTTGTATAATTTTGAATCCCTGCCTCCAATGAATGATTTTGATCAAATATGGTTGATATCCATCACTTAGTTCCAGAGAAGAAGTCGCTTAAAGCAATAAAGCCAAATTTCCCCCTGTCGGCCCGGCCCCTAAGAATCCTGGGGGGTCAGCCCCACCAGTTGTACAATTTTGAATCCCTGCCTCCCATGAATGCTTTTGATCAAATATGATCAAGTGCATAGTTCTACAGAAGAAGTCGTTTGTAGCAATATAGCCAAATTGTCCCCTTTTGGCCCCGCCCCAATGCACCCTGGGGGGTCAGCCCCACCATTTGTACAATTTTGAATCCACACCACCTAGGGATGCTTCAGACCAATATGGTTGATATCAATCGCCTAGTTACAGAGAAGAAGTCGCTTAAAGCAATATAGAAAAACTGCCCCCTTTTGGCCCCACCCCTCAGGCCCTTGGGGTATCAGCCCCACCATTTGTACAATTCTGAATCACCACCACCTAGGGATGCTTCCAGTCAAAATTTAGGTAAATTCCGATCAGTGGTTTAGAAGATGAAGTCGTTTAAAGGACTTGTTGACGTTCAGACGACGGACGGACGACGGACGCCACGGTATGGCATAAGCTCACCTTGGTCCTTCGGACCAGGTGAGCGAAAAATGTGCACTGACGTAATGGTTAATGCAAGTCTTCAAGTTTCAAGCCTTCACATGAAAATACCTCTAGTTCACAAGATACGCATTATTGATATAACATTACATTTTGCTACAGGATTTCAAAAGCTGTAACATAAAATGAATAATAAGGCGACAAAACGAATAGTGTGACGGGCGAAAGGCAAGATGTTTAAATAAAACCGCCAACCTTTCGGGGACCTGTTGAGCGCAAATTAAACAAACTTTGTGTGGCCTCGCGTGACTTTACGTCATTTTGTCTATTGGTATTTGCATATTAAGCCAACTTGTGTTGTAGCTCATATTTGTTCGGTGTTCCCATTGATAACGTACAAAATGCGGATTGTTTTCATTAAAGGGCCTGTTTCCAGTAATGTTAATTCTCCATAGGAGCCTGCCCCCGTATAATTTCTTATCTAGCTCAACTACTGTTTTTTTCTTTTCCGAAGAATAATTTTACACCTTTCCGACACCCAGATTTCATAATTTCAGTGAAAATGTATTTTTATAAAGTTGTCAATTTCAGCATCAAAGACATAAGTTCGTAAATAAAAGAAGGTTATCTCGAAATTGTAATTCGCAACATAGTATAAATTTCTTTTGATAAATATTTCCAAAACATCGTGTTTATTCATAAAACATAAAAAAAAATATTTTCGGATGAAAATGCACTTGCAGAGACACAATTATGAAGAAAAATGCCATAAAATTGCAATTTTCTCCCGTTATATAGTTTTGGATGCAAATTTCCATCAGAAAATCGGATAGAGCTTTACTTGTTTCATATGTGTACCAAAAATCAGCTAATTCCATGTGGTGGAACGTTCTCATATCGCCGCCTGAATGTGGTTGTAAATTGAAAGAAAAGGGGAAATGAGTAACAACCTTGTCTGAAACCCTATTATATAGCTTATTATATACAAACTTTTATATTGAATATCAGAGCGGATATTTTCATGACAGTTTTATGATGTGTAACGACTAAATAAACAGTATCGATATAAAGATTTACACTGAGGACACCCTGATACATGAATACTGTTCTATCTCAAGTTGTCCTCTTCTGAATTTTCTGATCGTGTGGCCTTGTACATTTATCCGTATCTTCTTGTCTTTGTCTATACGTTTACGGAATCATTGACTCGACGCTAGCTATTCTTGTCTCACTTTCCTTGTTTTATTGTCCCATCTCCAAAGCGTTGTGGCTCTGTCAGGGTTGGGACCCTGACTTGTCTCACTTTCTTTGTGCCTGCCGACCACGCCACATCGAATAGATAGATTATCCATATGAAATACTTTATTTTGTTCTAAGTAATCAATCAATTCTGCGCTTCTTGGAGGTATTGAATGTGATTTATTATATTGTCTTGTTATTTTGTGTAATTAGTTGTTCGTTATTTATCACACATTTTCGCATAATTGTACCAAACTACTAAGTATTAGCTGTTTACAGCAATCATCGGTGGCTTGCTATTTTGTTACTTTATCGACGCTTCATAAACCAATCGTTATTGTTTCAAGATGGAGGGTAAATGTGTTGGAGAAGGGTGTCAAGTATACTTCAAGAAACGTAGTGGCAATAAGAACAGAAGTGCACGCAATGTAAATAGTCCACAATATAAATGGCTCCTAGATACGCTGGTGCAACAAGGATTGATGTCAGCAAAGGAACAAGCACTTATTTGCCAGAAGTGCTACATGAAGTATCTTCGGAACAAAAATCAGCCTGAACCTGAACCCGAGCAGAACCAGGAAATAGAGGAAGAAGACGACTCCCCGTCCCATATCCTGCCGTTGCTGACCCTTCATGATCTTTTGAATGGATCATCTTCACACAAAAAATGCTGTCTCTGTCTTGTTACCTTTGCAAGAAATGGAACAAAATCATCAGTCTTACCAAAACGTGCAAGACATCACCTGATCTATTCACACAAACTGTGGTGTCCCACCTCATCCCGCGTCTGCTCCATTCACCTTATTGGTAACGACTTAGATCCGTCTACAGAGGTTGTCCTTGATGGTAGAGGTTCCTTGGAATCTCAGTTACCATCAAAATCGTCCGAAATCATTAATGACCTCCTAGAGGTGTCGCACGTCCTTTCACAGAACCAGTCTGCGTTTACAATAAGCTTTTCTTCTCTTGATGACTCGGCATGCATGGCCTGGACAGGTTGGTCCAAAGATCAGTTCCTCGAAATCCACTCGCACTGTTCCCCATATCTTTCATCTGGTATATATACCAAGACTACACACGATGCTCTATTACTGTTCTGGGTAAAACTGAAAACCGACATTTCCTGGAGTCAGTGTTCTTCTCTTTTTGGAATTTCCAAGTCAAGTGTGTCCAAAACTTTCCACTCCATAGTACAGGCATTAGACACATCGATAGTCCCACAATTTCTAGGTCCGGATCACTTGACAAGAGAACAGTTGCTCGGGCACAATACTGTCTTTTCAGAAGCATTTTTTGGAGATAAAGCCACTGCCATATTAGATGGCACCTATATTTATATCCAGAAAAGCTCCGACCACAAGCTCCAGAGAATGTCCTACTGTGGCCAGAAGAAGAGAAACTATCTCAAATTCATGAGCATCGCCTTACCAGATGGCTACATTCTGGACACAGTAGGACCATTCACTGGCAGCGAAAATGATGCTACAATTACAAAAAAAGTCATGGACAAGCTAGTTACTTGGCTACAACCAGACGACAACGTTGTCGTTGACCGAGGTTTTAGAGATGTCCTACCAGTTCTCGAAGCCTCTGGCCTCAATGCTAGCATGCCGTCATACCTGAAACCCGGTCAAAGTCAACATTCTGACGTCCAAGCAAATCTTGACAGAACTATCACCAAATCGAGGTGGATTGTGGAATCCTATCATGGTCGTCTGAAACACTGGACGTTCTTCCGAACGCAATTGGTGTCTAACAGCTTTATCAATGTCATCGAGGCTTTGCTTCGAACCGTCACAGCCTGTCTGAATGGTATTAGAGGACCGATCTACCAGAGATCTCCAGAGAGAGATGCCAAAGATAGGCTAATGGCTGAACGTATGAAGGACCGTTTGACAACACCGAATGGTTTAGCTCAGAGAGTCAAGACAGATCCGGATCTATCTAGACGGGCAAGGTCCGAGTTTGTCAAGATGGATGCATCTTCCGTACTGTTTCCCCGTCTCGA